AACACTCAGTCACAGATGATCCACACTCCAATCCACAAGGGGGCGTGCAGTATTTACTCACGGTCTACTAATTTTTCTTTCTGTGATTTGCATTTGTTAATGTAAAATTAAAATAGAATGGTAATGATATTAAAGGATTAATTTACCCAAAAATGAACTGTCATTTTACTCGCCCTCTTTTAATGCTAAAAGCACTTGATTCGTCTTTCCCTGCCATTGCTGACGAAATTAATTAGCAAAGATGGTGTAATATTCGATGTGAAACTGCTTCAGAGGGTTCTAGAATGACTTGAGTCTCTAGACCTCTTTAGTAAATCAGTTTTTTCTTTACAGAAAGTTATATAAAACACCTTTTGTGCTCCACAGAAAGAAATTCATATTTGGGTGACTGATTGACTGTCATTTTGGGTGAACTATTCCTTTAATGCGAGAAGAGATAAATCATGTCATATCTTGTTCATGCAAATAAATGTACTTTGTTCTGTCTTAAGGAAAACGACGTAACGTCTGTGGACTAGCTTCACCATGTCAGCTGTAGCATCTTGGTTTCTTTGAAATAAAGTCTTGTTGCAGTTTATTAACTTTGCCATCTGTTTTCATTACTCATTATCTGTATTTATTTAATGGGTAATTTACTGATATCTTGGTTTACCACATAAGTACAGCAGAATTTTTTTTTTTTGCCACAGCACCACATTGTGTAGCTAACATACCATGATTAAAGTAAATTAAGAAACCTATTGTGAAATGATCACCTTTACCACAAAATAAAAATTTGGGAAGGAAACTGATGGGGAAAACTGGCTGCATGGAAACCTTTGGCCTATCCTACAAAATGACCTCCAATTCAACAGGTTTAATGCATTTAAAAACTGTAGGAAGATACAAAACTAGAGGAGGTCCTTGACATCTTAAGGTAACAATTTATAGTTAGTTACATACTTAAATGTAAGTGTAATTTTTACACTTACATTTAAAAGGAATTAAGTATGACTAAGTATTTGTTCTATTTTAGAAAAGAGATTTTAATCTAATAATTTGTCTGCATATTAAGCATCACCCTTGGCTAGTTGGCTTCCCAGTGGTTCACCTTTACTTAGTGTTTCACAATTGATCAAATTTAATATATATTTTTTTTATTTCAAATTAATATATAAGATTAAATTTCATTATACTTTACTATTAAATTAGTTTACAATTGAATTACATTTAAATTGTAAATTAAATTTGTGTTTTTTAATTTAAAAATTATCTAATGACCTGTCACATGATCAAGACATGCAATGAAATGTTTCAGTAAACTGTTGATCAATTCAAATAAATTTATTTTAATATGGTCCAGAGAGAAAGATGCAGACGTTAACTGGGTTTTGGTTATGAATATGGACCAGTTTTCGTTCTATGATCCCTTCATTCAGCTAGACCATTACAATGACTTCACTCCTGAAATGTACATCTCTGATCACGCCAGACCTTCCATTCCCAGGCCACCACAACACCCAACATCAATGGTGCAAGCACTGACCTTTGGTGACCTCTGCCCTCCGCCAAGAGGTGATTAAATAACGACCAACTACCAGTTTTCATCTGTCGACCCCAAGGAGTGGAGCTTGATGGTGCGGACAAACCTCTGTCCCCTGGTCAGTCTTCCTCCCCGCGTCCAAGAACGGCCAAGTAACAAATTCACATGCAAAATACCAATGGGCCAAAAGCACCAGACCCCCTGAGGGTCACTGAATCTAACAGAAAACAAAGACTGTTAAATACATTGGCATTTGGCAAATCTACCAATTAAAAAGATATATATATATATATATATATATATGTATGTATATGTATATATATATGTATATATATATGTATATATATATGTATATATATATGTATATATATGTATATGTATATATATATGTATATGTATATATATATATATGTATATACATATATATATGTATATATATATATGTATATATAATTTATTTACCTTTAACGGCTTGTTAACTCCAAGAGCTCCATCACTCTAATTCTGGAAGTCCACGCCGCAGCTGTAATGATGGCAAAACTGATAAACTGGTTGTTGGAGCCCTTTAATGAATTGTTCATTCATCATATCCATACTCATAACATACTTCTTGACAGGCTGGAAAACTGGGTCTGGCTTTCTGGGATTGTCCTAAAATAGTTCAGCCAGGTCATACTTAGGATGGGAGACGTTATGTGAGTATAGAAGACCATGAGTCTGAGTGGACATCCATGACTGCGGAGTCCCTCAAGGCTCAATTCTTGCGCCACTCCTGTTCAACCTGTAAGTTAGGCTACATGTCAAATAATGAGAGGGACAAATTGGTCAATGCTCATCACCACAGCTATGCAGACGACACACGTACAGCTCTATAGCCCTAACGCCTAAGGAGGATACTCCCTGTGCCAACGTATTGAAGTAAACAGTTGAATTTCCAAAACTTTCCTCAGATAAACAGACAAAACTGAAGTCATTGCGTTTGGAAACAAAGATGAAGTTCTGTGAAGTTGTAGATCTTTTTTGTTTTATTGACCGCTTTTAACAGGTAATCTTAATGTAGTGAGAGATTAATGTGTATTATCTTTTTTATTTTCAAGTATGCACTCTTTGGGAAGTTAGCAGTGCTAACAATGTGCTAAACGAAAGAAAGTAGCCTACAGGTTTGAATGACGCTGATTAAATAATGCCCGAATATCATTAAAAATTTACAGGCCTGTGTTTGTATCCACAGTTTGTGCTTTGTTGATTAAAAATCAAGTTTTGACTGGTTTCCTGCAGTGTTTTTCGTCTCTGACTGGAATCTCTGCTGTAGGCTGTTTCTGTCGCACTGCGGCTGCTCTCAACATGTTTTCACCACAGACACGACGATTAATGTGTTCTTATAAAAGCATTTGAGGCGTTTAGATGAATTCATCTTTACCATAAGCGTTCACAATGAGTATCCCTTGGGTGTTTTCAATTAAATTCAGTCAACCAAACAAAACATGTTTACTAAAATGATCAAATCAGCGTCTTTGATAACCACAGTGGTCTGACTTCCGTCTAAAACCTTGCTAACCAAATGTGAAATTACAGAGAAAAGGAGCATAAACACATCAAAGTTTTGACACCAAACATAAATTTGTCCATGTGTGAAAAAATAAATCGCATTCATATAAATGTGCTCAGTTCTGTTCAACCTGTCTTTCAGTGCAAGACTGTCATAAGCAAATATTCTTGCGTTTTTCCGAGGAGCTTGAACTATAGGTAATTTTTTTTTTTTACCAATTTATACTTTCATACTGGATGAATTGCATTCTTAATATTGCATTTTTTAATCGTGTTCCTTTTGTAATGTAACAGTAATCGTATTGTCCGTTAAATGTACACATTGTTTAATCAAATTTATTTCTCTAACAGAGAGAGACGCTTAATAAGAGATGGATGGTTTGGGACCAGCACTGTTTGGATTATTTGTAGTGTCTTTTACAGTTTCTAAACCGGTAAGGACACTTCATTTTTTCATTCTTATTTCAGGACACAACCACATTGCAGTCTCATTATAAGCATACTTTGTGGGTTATTACAGCATTTGCATCCATTTTTTGCTTTTATTAATAACATTTTCTACCAAACTTTTTCTTATTCCCTATCATTGTCCATGGCAATGTATGGAATTTACGTGCACATTTATCATTAGTTTCAAATGGAATTGTGAAATGGATCGCCAATCATTTTGTAAACATGTTTAAAGCTTGTTTTAAAAGAAGCTTTCATTACTTTATAATTAAGTTTGAACCAATCTAAACTATATTTTTATATTTGATATGACTACTATATTTTATCTTTGTGCAACTAAAGCACTCTGTATAGTTCTTTACAAATAAATTGTGATTTTATTTAAAGAACACTTGCTCTTGGTTTCATAGACAAAGCTTAAACTAGTCTGCATGTTTGAGCCGTTTTAACTAAAAGCAACTTGCACTAAAGTATCTTAAAATGTCAGCGCCATTGATTGGTCTCAAGATCCACTCAAAAGCTACTTAAATGCCCTAATTGAACTAAGGCCTAATCTTTGCTTAATCTAAGCCCTGTCTGTGAAACCAGACCTTGATCTGATGATTATCTATGTACAATCCTCTGACAGGTTTGTCTGCATCACGAGCTGACATTATCCACTTCTGAATCCTCTGAATCAAATGAGATGACAAATGAGTCATTATCCACTTCTGAATCCTCTGAATCAAATGAGATGACAAATGAGTCATTATCCACTTCTGAATCCTCTTCGGAGGAGATCATGATACAGAGAACCACAATAGAACCCATTGTGCTGAACACCATGAGACTGGACAGCCTGGAGAACAACCACCACCAAACCAGTAACCATACTGCACATCCGGGCCTTGCGCTGACTACACCTAACCCTGCCGACACTGGGCAGAAGGTTGTGGATTTGGGCCTGGATACAAGCCTCGGTCCTCTTGATCTCGTGTCTCCAGACCTCACCACCCCAGAACTACGATGTTACACGGTAGAGCTCACCAGTCCTGATCCCAAACCTGCCAGAGGAGATAACATTTAATCAGCCAGCATGCGTATATTTTACCTGACTTGTCTATTCTTAAGAAATGTGATGGTGTGTGTGTGTAGCAGGCTTACCTTAGTTCTTATTAGTAAGAGGTTGACCAACCTTTTATCCTTTTTCTCCGTTCTTCTGTAGCAGTTGATCTAGGCTGTCTTCTGAATCGCACTACAACTTTCATGCTTTGCATTTGTTAAAATGGTGTTTTTCATTTACATCTTTAAATATTATTAGTTTAAAACAGTTTTTAAGAAGTATGAAATGGTTATATAAAGCAAAAGACAAAGAGGCATCCTGACGTTTATAAGGGACAAGAGTTTTCTCAAAAACGTGCAAAATAATATAGTAAAATCACTTCATTTTAACTAATAAAGCATTGGGTTATAGAATGATATTTGTGAGGTTTTTTTTCCCCCACATTTAAAACACGCAACAATTTGGCAATGACTCAAAATGGGTTAAATGCAAATTAAAATAATTGCACAAAAATAATGTCTAATTTTTCATTTGGAAGAATTAATAGCATAAAAACAGGTCATATTTTTGATAAAGCACTTTATCAAAAATAATCTCTCATATCTCTCATACATCTAAAAATGGTACTATCCTTTTAACCCAACTAATGTATTAGTGATTCTTGTGGATAAAGTTGGCAACATGTTTACTGCTTGGCTAGTCACTTGCCCTCGGTTTCACAGACTAGGCTTAAGCTAATCTCAGACTAAAATGCATGTTTGAGCTGTTTTAACTGAAAGCAACTTGCACCGACATATCTTAAAATAGGCTACACTAGTCAACATTTGAAGTGGATCAAAACCTTTCATCAGAGTTATACATGAATTCGTCTTAGAACAACTTTGATGAACTTTTTTGATCCAATGGCCACGTTAAATGTTGGCTAATCAGAGCCATTGATTTGTCTCAAGTAGTAAAGCACACAGTAATGTTTTTTCCTAAAGCGCGTTTATAAAGGTTAGTTGGTAACACGTGTAGGCCTATAATGTCTAAACATTAGGCTACTAAATAATTAATAGAGTTTAAACCAAGTATACACCCCTTAGGGGACAAGGGTGGGCTGGGGGGAAAAATTACGAGGCCCAGTTGTAGACTTATCATAATTTCTAATATAATCTTTTCATGACTTACCAATTTTTTTCCTTCTTATGTGTGGGAAATGAGCTTCCCATCTTCTTCTCGAAACAAGTGTCTGCTGTTAACGTTTGTCACGCAGCTCATAACTTCTGCTAGCTCATACTAAGAATAACTGCTCATTCCCTGTATAAGAGCCAAATGGTTTTAAGTGTAAATCCATTCATATATTCAGAATTGGGCATAAATACAGAAATAAAAATGCAAAATACCTCAGTTGAAATGTATCAAAGTAAAATACCAAATACTGTTTTTTTTTTTTTTGTTTTTTTTTTAACTTTTTTTAGTTTGAAATACAAAAACAGTATTTTGTCAATTTAAATTTGGAAAATAAATACACGCGAAATTGGTCATTCAGTGAAGTATCACTATCGGGCTGAAATCAAGGACCTATTCTGAATGTAAATTACACTAGTGTTCACAACTGCTTAGAAACTTGTTTTTATTTCACTACCTCTTCCCCTGCCCCGTAGGAAATTAGTTTTTCACCATCATTACTTCTCTAACAATTACTCATTAACACACACACAAAAAAAAGTTACTGAATGACGTATGTTTTCCGACATTTATTGACCCAATACTGTTTAGCATCAGCAACTTTTCAAAAAGACAGGCTTTAAGGGTCCGTGTGCAAGAAGCCAAATAGAGGCCGTTTCTATTCTTATTTCTAACCAGGTTACACTGCAGCCTTTTACTGAACACTATAAATCACATGTAAAACTGTGGGAACAATATGATACTCACTGCTTCTCTAAAAACCGAAAAAAAAGTCCTGAGGTATCCCATGAGTCATCATGACTCCATTGAGATTTAGTATGGTAGCACTGTTTTACTGTTTTCTTACTTGGACTTATGGACTATTCATGATAGATTGTTTTATTCTCATCCAAAGTGCTTCAAACACAAATGCTGTATGTGTGTGAATAACAGAATAAAAGCTGCATGAACTTGTGTTTCACAAGTGGGTGAGCTCACCATTCACTGCTCCCAGCAAAACAACACGTGAAGGTCACAAATAACCCACCGCCGCAGGAACAGGAGACACTGCAGAAGTTGACAGACACATCATAACAGGATGGTGCTGGTTTGAACCCTGAAATTCATGAAGTTTGGCCAGCCAACATGACATCATGACTTTTGCGTAAACATATACGCCACTTTCGAGGTAGGTGGCGTGTTATCTCTACGCATTTTGAGCTATCCGCGTGTATGCGTATATGCCTACGCCATTAACATCAGCGTCATTCCGCGTGTCTGTACACGCAGTCAAATCTCCAGTCATAAATGCCATTTACCCCAGTGACGGTTAAGTTTAGGGACGGGGTTGAGGTAAGTCATATATTTATATAACGTTAAGTCAACGGCGTTCATAAACACGCTGAAAGGCGATTATGCGTCTTGATAGCACGCCAAAAATGGAAATACGAATTGGCGTCATACACACGCTACTTCATGAGATCAGTCTGGGCCAGCATTGTTTCTGAGAGCAAGTAAGGTTAGGGCTGTCGCGGTAACCGCAATAGTAGCTACCGCGCTTCTGACAAGACAACCGCAGAGGATTGCACGTAACCGCAGCAACCGCGATATTCAATTTTTTTTTATAAGGCTATACCCTTCTTGTTTTGAACGTAATGCGTGTGTATTGAATGTTAAACCAGTTCATAATGATAACAAGACTGTTTATCATGGTGATGTGTAGCCTACAGGCTTCACACAGATAGTGAATGAGAGAGATCGGCAGAGCGCGTGCAATTACCTCTGTCTTTGAAGTCGTGAAAAGCTTGTCGTATCAAAGGGAAGCGAAATATTTGTTGCATCATCATTTTAACGTTCTCTTCACGTGTATTTTCCCATAAATGCGCGTCAGCAGCAGCGCTGTTCAACATCCCACAGCACAAGGAAGCCGAAATAAAATCAGTGAGTCACTGAATCAATGGGTCTCTAATAAGTGAAGCATCAGCTTCAGCGTTGCCTATGCGACGCATTGCTGCTCAGCTGAGCCTCGAAGTTGAACATCAATGTTAGAAATAATTAACATATTGTTTCTTTACATCTCTTTTAATGAATCAGCTTTTTTAAACGTGTTCGTTGAATGAACGGTTCAATGACTCGCTCAAAGTCCGTTGTCATAATATGCGCGCTGAGTGAAAGTTTTTCAATGCACATATACTGTAGACGCTGTTTAGTTTCGGTTACAATGCTTACTGAAAATGTCCTCGTTTTTGTCCACATCGTAAACTTTATTTATATAGCAACAAAAACATATAAATTAAATAAATAAATGGCGGTAATACCGCATATCGCGCTATTGAGCCACTCAATATTACCGCAAGGGAAATTCCATAACCGCGACAGCCCTAAGTAAGGTGGAATAAAAGTACACGTCGGATAACTAGTCATTTCATTCTCAAAAATGCTTGAGTGTGTACTACAAATATCAACAAAAGTCACACTCAACAAAACAAATAAAACAAACTTCTGGGAAAAATACCAAGGACAAGATTCTTTCTAGAAGGAAAACTTTAGGAAAATAAGATTGCTTCAGTTTTTTTATTAAATGAAAAAAAGATTAAATTACGCAATGTGATCATTTTATTTTTTGTAACACAAAGCTTGTTTCTTGCCCAGCATTAACCAATAAATAAGCATTCAATCATTTTTAAATTAACAGAGTTCGGCCATGATGGCCACTGTCCCGACCTCATGTTACTTTCAAACATTCTTAAAAAATATATTCTTGATAGATAATTAGGATTTAATAATCAAATCAGATTTTAGTAAAAGTTTATCCACATTGCACTGGATTATCTTTAACATTTGTTATGACACAATGCAAGTGGAAAATTCAAGAAATATGAATGTTGCAAATCTTACTGTGCTAGATCAGTTCTCATCGAGTTTAATCCAGCAAAAAAGAAAAGAAAAAAAGAGCAGTTGTACAGATATGGAAGCAGTGAGAGAGAAGACTTTCAGTCAGTTCTGTAAAAGCTTAAAGGAGAACGCCGGTCAATTTTAACAATGAGCTCATTTTTTTGTACATTTGGAGTGCTGTCAGTACAGACAAAAACAACAAAAATCGGTGTTGCCTACATCGTGTTATCCTCTTTTTAAAATTTGCACCCTGTTGACTTCAATGGGGCAAGTTCTAAACCTGCCTTTAGCCTCATAACATACTTGATTTGTCATTACGAGTGCGCAGCCATGTGAGTGGTGTTATTAAGAGATCACATCTGCAGTAGCTGTGAAAGATATGAATAAAAATGATGTTAATTCAGTCAGCTCACATACCTCTACTTGCTTCTGTTTCGGTCGAAGTGCCAAGTTCACACGCGTGATCATTGGTAACTACATAATGTTCAACATCTGATTCGGATGAACTAACCATTTGAGCTGATATTCTCGGAACACCACACAGCACCGTCATTGGCTGACAGCTGACAGTCTGAGTCTCCACTGTTGCTTAGTTACCAAACTCGACAATCAACTACTGTGGACTTCGACCGAAAACAGGAAGTAAATAGAGGTATGTGAGCTGGCTGAATTAACATCATTTTTATTAATATCTTTCACATCTACTGCAGTCAGATTGACCGTGGTCACTCTTAATAACACCACTCACATGGCTGCGCACTCGTAATGACAAATCAAGGATGTTAAGAAGCTAAAAGCAGGTTTAGAACTTGCCCCATTGAAGTCAACAGGGTACGAATTTTAAAAAAAGGATAACACGGTGTAGGCAAAAGTTTTCGTCTGTACTGAGAGCACTCCAAATGTACAAAAAAATGAGCTTAATGTTAAAATTGACCGAAGTTCTCCTTTAACTGGGAGATGATCTGAACCTGAACATCAGTCGTGGTTCTGCGTGTCGGGCTCTTCTTCTAGCGGCTGCTGCGCAGGAGGTCGTGGGTCAGCGGCGGGGGGTGCGATCAGACCCCCGTCCTGTGCCGTGTTGTAGGAGCCACAGGTGCTGCACTTCATGCCCAAGACGTGGAAGGACACCGTGCAGTGAGCCTGGCAGTCATTGCATATGATCTGTGAACAAACAAAAAGGCAAGTTGACTTATTGGAGTAAGAACAGGTCACATTTCACAGTAAAATCAAGGAAAAAATAACTTGTGGCGCTTTAGCGGTTAATAAACAAAACTGCACGAGTCTTGCATTGTAGCTCTCCGTTTAAGTAGATGCCGAGTCACACAGGATCTGGGACACTCCGCAGCGGGTGTCGTCCCGTCCGGTCTAAAATAGTCCGAATATAAACACTTATTAGGATAAGACAAAAACACCGTTTGGATGATGTACTCGCTCATTATATACATTTTAAGTTAAGAAAAAAAAGGTACTTGGTGTACCTTAAAATAAACAAATCGTGAGAAAATTAAGCCAATTGAATGAAGCCAAATTTAGGGTTATTTAGAACTGTTGCATTGTGACCCATGCATTCCCATTATTACTCCCAGATTTTTAATTCTGATTTAATAAAATATTGTTAAAGGCAAATTCTACGATGAGGTAACAAAAACAAAATTATTTTCTTTTTTTGCATTACATCAATGAGAATGCAATTTGTGTTTCAGAAATGAGAACTGAGAAATAAGAGAAAATTGTTATGAAAACTGTAAAAATCATAATGGTCTTACAAGGTGCAATTTTATTATGCAATACAATATAAATATACATAATAATAAATATACCCAATTTAAGTAAAAACCACACAAGATTTTCTCCAGTAACTAAAACTTTAAAAAAAATAATTTTCGTTCATTGAAATACAGCTGGAAAAATATCTAATAATAATAATAAATACAATTAAAACATTTCATATAAGATGAAAAAATTAAATTAGAATGTTGCCTTGGAAACAAATTAAGTTTAGTAAAGTACTAAAATTAACAAAACTAAACTGAAAGTAAATAGAATAAACAAACAAATAAAAGCACTAAAACTAAAATAAAAATAAAACAATAATGTTAATAAAAACTATTTTTTTAAAATTAACTGAATTAAACTAAATTAATGAAATAAAAAGTATTTATTTCCATCATTAGATTAAAATGAAAAAAAAAAAATCTATTATAAAAAAATATTAAAATGACCAAAGTAAATTTCTTTACATCTGATCTGATCTGTCATCACTTTACAACTGCAGGATATGAGTACATCTTACAGACTCATTAACCAATATTCACTTGTGTGTGTGTTTGGATTGCACCTCGTTTGCATGTCCATTTGGATAACGTGTCTGCTCGGTGAATGCATGCAAATGAAGGCTCCGTTACCTTTACTGTAGTGTCCTGGTACTCAGTGGGCATGGGACACTGGGCAATTTCCTTATCTCTCTGTTCCCAGAAGTCCTTCATGTTAAAGGCAGAGTGCATACACAGGGGACAGCGGTAAGCCCTGCGGGACAGACCGCGAGATGTAAGCACATCTCTCCACTGTTGAACTCTATCCTATACACGCCTATGACTAATTTATGAGGATCAAAACATGTTAACAGCTCAGAGGCTGATATTGTGTATAGATGTGAAACACTTACTGAAGGAATAATTCATTTTTAAAAAAACTTCTAAAGTTTAAAGTTCATTATATGGAGAAAATCCTGGAATGTTTTCATCAAAAACCTTAATTTCTTTTCGACTGAAGAAATAAATACATGGACATCTTGGATGACATGGGGGTGAGAAGTTTTTTTTAAGTGAACTAATCCTTTAAGTTAACGAGAAATGTCACTATGAATATATGCAGAATTAGCAATGAGTCATAAGACATTAACACAATAATCAGAAAACAACAATATTCCTTACCCAGTTCTGCACATGTCATCAAAGCATGTTCTGCAAGCAAAAAAGATTTTTACATCAAATCACATTCATTTGATAGGGCACCAGATGATACACACACACAGTAGGTGTTTCTCAATGTCAAGGATACTTCCTTGGCAGGACGGGTCCTTCCAAGTCATTTCCTTCAGAGGCTAGGCAAGGGTCCTCTTTAGCATTCGGAGAACACGTAAATGGAACAGGCTAGCAAGTGCAAGTCATTGCGTCATTACATCAGTGAAAGGTCCGCTTCGGCGCTGCAAAAATCTGTTTGTTGACAGTCCTTATTTTGTCTTGTCAGTCCTCATAGAAATAAATAAATAAATAAATAAAGTATAAGGGATAATGTATAACCAGGCGGTTGTTATAGTGAATACAACCCCGCAAACTCTAAAGCAGAGGGGTCTTGATTGAATCAGCCTGAAGGGGTTGTACCAAACGGCTACCTACCAAATAAATCAATAATTTGACACAAAATTTTTATTTAAAAAGGAGTTTATTCATTCAAAAACGATTATATTACCGGAGTGAACAGAACTAGCACTACGTCCATAGCAACATCTAGCTGTTAAAACACATGCAATGGTAAAATATGTGACAACAAAAAGGCTATAACGTTATATGAAGTAAAAATTAAAATTTAATCACCAGTAAAAGGGAAACAGCTTTAAATCCCCTCAGCAAATTTGAGCCGATATGTTAAATAGTTTAACAAACATTAAAATAAATGGCTATAACTGAAATTATACTTGCTTACATTTGAAAGCATATTGCCGTTATCACTCCGACTCCGCTAACGGTCGACATTTTTTTATTTTTTGAACAAGATAGCAAAGCTGCGCATAGGATTGTGGGTGATTTAAGAGCGCGAAGGCTACACATATGCATCCTTTCCTGTGTATGGGATATTTTCCGAACGAAGGACTCAGTCCTTGGTTGAAATTCTGAGGATCCTCGACATTGGAACAGTCCTTCGACGGACGTCGATGACGTAGCATCCTCGAAATTCCGGCTTCCGAGGATCCTTCCTTGACATTGAGAAACGCCTAGTGACTTTAAATATTTAATAGAATATATAGTGACCATCACTTATGTTCAAAACCTTAACAGGTAAAAGTCTAAATTCATTCATATAAAGCGATTAAGTCTCTTCAGAAAATTTCCGTGGGCTTTATACTACGATGGACAGATGATCAACCATAACGTAATCATCCAAGTCACCAAAGAGCGCTTGGGTTGAGTTTGTTTACAACAAATGAATGGCTACCGCTGGAGAATTTAAATGTATAGATTGAGATTCAGCTATTCAGAGAACCGCGATGAAGGCATTTGTCGATCGGAAAGATGTTTTTGCCGTCCTTCCTATGGGATTCGGTCTATCCAATTGAGTGCAGAAGCATTTTGTTTCCTGGTTCAGTTGAAACGGCCCATAATCACAGCCCAATGGAGCAGATCAGACTCATATTCTGCCTAGAATCTGAGTATGACGACGTCAGGCTACCTTTAAGTCAAGCACGTAGGGGAAATCTAGCACAACTTTGAGCATATGTCATTTCTACAGACACTGTATTATGACATCACACTTGCAGCCTCTTGTTTTTATAATTCAAATTGAAGAGGATGAGAATATGCAAGCACTGCATCTTGCAGATCTAAAGTTTCATTTCTTTTAATTCAGCTAAATGCTCACGCCGTGGCGTTACAATCTTCTTTCACCAACCTTCAGTTCACCAAACTTGGACTTTGGAACGCTTTGAAATGTGAAGCTTCTTCGCCTGAGCTTGCGTTTCCAGTCTCATGCATATGAACTGAAGTCAATGGAAGGAAAGAGTGTAGTGTGTGTGACCGCCTCTTAACACAACAGATGATCAAACACTCACTTGTGTAGAAGATGGCCGCACGAGAGCACATGAGCCCCTATTCTGGACGTGTGGATGTCCTCCATACACACAGGGCAGTTCTGCCTAGACACGTTCTCAACACACTGAAAACACAAGCACTGCTTAATAATTCACTAATGACAACAAAAAGTAACGTGCAAGAATCAGGAGAAGACTTTCCATCATACCTTGTGATTATCTTTTAGATCAGTGGCTAAACATAAATTGCACTTCGTACAATGGAAGTATTTCTCACTTGGGCCAATTCTAAAAGAAACAGAGGAGAAGGAGGTCAATGAGAATCTTATTAAAAGACAAATGTATTGCTTCGGTTGACCTCTCATTCGTTTTGAATGAAATCATGTGCTAAATGAATACATGTAAATGCCATGCAAACCTGCATATCCCGCAGGGCTTGCAGTGGTACTGCTTCTTGTCTTTGTCAAACAGATGGCAGATGTCACAGTAATACTCCCCGAACTTCACTTCACATTGTTTACATGTCTGCTGAGCCTGATGAACACAGAATGAGCAACAGTTTTAATGACATCAAAGCTGAAAAGCAATAAAAGAAAGAAATCATATTTTGCATTAAGAAAATGCCTTTTTAGGGGACCAATAGAATCTGTTGCATTTCGACATTTAATGATTTATACAACCATGATGTGTAATTACTTCTTTTGCATCACAGTAAGATTTTGTTTGATGACTAGAATTGTGTAATACACTGCTGCTAAAGTCTCTTATGCTCATCAAGGCTGTAAATACAGTAAAACAGTAATATTGTGAAATATTATCACAATTTAAAATAACATTTCTATTTTAAATATGTAATTTATTCTTACGATGCAAAGCTGTATTTTCAGCATCATTACTCCAGCCTTCAGTCACATGATCCCACAAATCACTCTAATATGCATTATATTATTATCAATGTTGAAAAGAGCCGTCCAATTCTTTCCAGTATTCTTTGATGAATAAAAAGTTAAAAAGATCTGTATTTATTTTAAATATATTTTGTGACATTATAAATGCTGTTACTGCCACTTATGATCAATTTAATGCATCCTTGCAGAATAAATGTATTAATTTCTTTCAAAAATAAAATTAAAACATCCTACTGAACCCGAACTTTTGAATGGTAGTGTATAACTTTACTAAAGCTTCCTTTTTCAGATAAATGCTATTCTAGTTTTGAACTTTCTATTCATTGAAGAATCCTAAAGAAAATAAACTGTTTTCAACATTGATAATATTAAGAAATTAAATGAATGATGAAATGATTTCTGAATGATCATGTGACACTGAAGACTGGAGTAATAATGCTGAAAATTCAGCTTTGTATGCGGGAATAAATTACATGTTAAAATATATTGAAATAGAAAACAGTTATTTCAAATTGTAATCATATTTCAAAATGTACTGTTTTTTTAACCACATAAATGCAGCTTTGGTGAGCATGAGACTTCTTTTTAAAAGATTACAAACCCTTACTGATCACTGATTAGTCTTACTGATTACTGACCGTTTGTGGTTTAATGTTACCCACAAATAATACCCAGACATCTTGGCAGCTTTTGTGAGATTCCCCCAAGCCAATTTTATGATGTGTTTAGAGTCTAGCATAAATATGATTTTACCTCTTGAATAGTATTGCATGAAGAGCATTTGACTTCTCGGACCTTAAATCGGTCCATTTGATGGTTCTCTTCTCCATCATGACAGAGTCTACAAACATAAAACTTCCCACAGCAGGGCGCCTGCAGACACACCACAAATATATAATAAGCCATCACCATCAACGCATTATACAACAGTCCGCATAAACACTTACAGCATCAGAATATGTTGTAAGTGCAAATGCAGGACCATTAACAAAAACCCTAAACTAATACCGAGCAAGGCAACTAACATATCTTATTTGTTGCCTTTAAACCATCAATAATTAGATTTTAGTTCATAGAATAACTTTATATTACATCTTAAAAATAGTAAATTGGTGTTCAGTGATACAACATACAAACCCATACAGTTAGCAATATGCTAATGAGATTTATTTCAAACTCACGCTACCGTGCGACTAAGGTAAGTATTTACCAAAACAATCATGCTAACTTATTGACATTGGCAACCATGTATGAAATACAACGAATAACCGTTACATGAATGAAATGTCACTCACTTTTAACAAACAGCTGCGAACATAGTGCTCACATCCGACTTCAGTGGCGGCCATGTTTCATTTAAATGCGAGAAAACTTTATTTAAACGTCCGTTGTGTTTATGCCGCTTTCGCATGTTTCCTCGTTAAAATAAAAATACAAAAAGAAATAGCTTTGCCTTTTATAGGGCACTAGCTTTTAACCGGACTAGCTTTGAAACAGTCGACATTTTTGAAGATTACCAGGAGTACATGTAAAGTGAAATTGTCTTACAGGCCTAATGAAAATTAAATTATGTAGAATTACTTCATATTTCATGTCCAAATTATAATCAATACAGGCCTGTTTATTATCACATGAAAGTTATCACAAGGCCTATATCTCAGTGTTTTGAGTCAAACATCCAGCTAAACATATTTTTAATCACTTAAACGTTTGATTCTAATTTACCGTCTTATTATTTTTGTAACAGCATTTTGAAACAAACGTACAAGTAATACGCTACTGAATTTAATAACATTCTGTCCTGTGGTCTGTTCTTATAATATTAGATTTGCATTATTAATAATATGTCCCTTTGTTTTTATATACAATCACCATGCGAATAACATTGGGTGGACAAATCCTTTATTAAAGCGGCAAATAAAAATCAGACCATTTGTGTGTGTTTGTCACAAACAGTGCACAGTGACAGACGGTGGCAGCATCTGCCCCTCCAAGATTAAAAACTTGCCCATTGTCTTTCCTAAAATGATTGCTTAATCTGATCTACTGTAGGTTTAAGCCCTTAAGAGTCTATAAACCACTGAACATATAAGTGTATTCATGTTATATCTGAATATATGATTTATTAAGCTTTTTGACTTTGTAAAATGTTGTAAAACTTGCTAACATGCTCAGTTTGATTTTTTCTCTCTCTCAGATGCCCTTGAGATCTGGATGTGGATGTGTTTGGTGGCACTATTATTTGTTATACAGGATTGATTCGTTGTTAAATCCTGCTAGACTTTTATATGGGAAAATCAGTTTTTAAGCTGATTTTAATAAAGAGATATAATAAGAATAAAATAAAATCGAACAAAATACAGTAGAATACAATTATTTCTACAGAAGAGTTATCTTAGATGTAGATGATGGCAAATATCTTAACACAAGTCACTGAATAAATACAAATTCATCCCTTTATATATTTCCTTTTATTATTCTAAGAACAAAGCAATTAGGAAAAAGTCATAAACATCATGGGATTATACAAAACTAATGCAAAGAATATCTTCACAACCCTAAAAGTTAATAGGAATAATTACAGTAACTGAACTTAACAATACACTCTCTTATTTGTAATTATTTTACATGTTGGCGAATTGGTGGCAAATTTGTATGAATCTCACTCACAGATCTCATGATGGTTAGGTTTAGGGAAGGGTTCTTTCTAAAAATCGTACTTTTCCATATGGATCACATTGTATGTTTTCTCATTAGATCACCTAACGTTAAATCTTGAAGGTCTTAGTGACCTGGTTACCTTAAGTGACTTTGCATTATCCATCCTGTTCTTTCCAGTGTTTACAACTCTAGATTCATGTCTATTTGAATTTGTTTTGTTTTTGAAAGCAGATAACACTGGATACATTATTCAAAGAAATGATTTTATAATCACGTTTTCAATCCTGCATTCCTCCTCACAAGTTATATATAAAGTTATACACTCTAAAAATTGCTGGGTTGTTTTAACCCACCTTTGGGTCAAATATGGACAAACCCAGCAATTGGGATAAAAAACTTTTGGGTTTGTCCATATTTGACCCAAAGTTGGGTTAAAAAAACAGCATTTTTAGAGTGTACTGTATATATTTTTGATTATTAAAAAGCTCAAAATAACATTATCCTTTAAAAAAGAAACATTTTGTAACATTATAAATGTCTTTACTGTCACTTTTGATCTTGTGGCACTGCTGTATTAAAACTATTAATTTTTTTTTATTTTTAAATCAAATACCTCAAATGGTGTATCATTTTCCACAACAAATATAAAGCAGAAAAAAAGTTCAACATTGATAATAATAATAAATGTTTCTGAGCAAAAAGAAGATTTCAGACGGATCATGTGACCTTCATTCATGGATTCCTTCATGTCCACTTCTGTTTGGCTGCTTGTTTAAATGTTATTATCATTATCCTCTAGTCTAGTAAATACCTGCTCTATCATTAACTAGATAAAAATGCCCATATTTCAGAAGCAGTTTATAAATAAGCCTTTGAATGTTGAAAGGGGTCTTGTGAATATTCATTCATTGACACATTCATTAGCAAGCGTGTCATTTCAAAGAATTCAAAAGCAGACTTCACCCTCAAGCAAAGGCTTAACGGATCATGGCATTTAAGTTGAACTCTTAGCTTCTTATAGACGGCATTAGAGGACTGGTGCTCCCTCCTGCCTGTCTCTTTACACTTAAACAGAGGAGGTTTACTGTCAGTAAAGCTCTGAGATTTACAGGCACGCTGTACGTACCTCCTCTGGGAGGATAGTGGAAGACTGAGAGGATGTTCACTGATCAGAGAAACAGGAGACAGAGCCTCTTTCCCAACTGCAAACTAGCGACTTCTGAGTCGATAGACGACACCGTCCCATTCGCTAAAGAGTGTCTGGTGAAACAATGGAGCTCTTTAAGCGAACTACAGGCGGATATCTACGACATTTTTGCGGATGTCGACGATGAGGAGGTTGAGAGGTATTCAGAGCCTTCGTTATGGTTTACCAGCACATCACCAAGCAGGAATTGCACGCTTAACCTCAACGTTGGAGGAAAGCCCTACCGTATCACCTACAAGATGGCAGCGAGATACCCACAGAGCAGACTAGGCCGTCTGGCCACCTACACTGACCTCAACATGAAGCTGAACCTCTGCGATGACTACGTCGTGAAGGACAACGAATACTTCTTCGACCGAGATCCGGACGTCTTCAACAGCATCTTCAACTTCTACAGGACCGGTGTGCTGTGGATCAAGGAAGAGCTCTGTCCGAGGAACTTCTTGGAGGAGATCAATTACTGGGGCGTTCGGATCAAATACTCTCAACGGTGCTGTCGGATCCTGCTCGAGGAGAAGCACGACGAGCTGTGCGAACAGCTCAAGGTTCAGAAGGAACTGGAGGCGGAGGTGGTAATCGAACAAAACGAGGAGGCGTTCGACCGCATGTTTCTCGGCGAGACGCGCCGCTCGCTTTGGAACTTCATGGAGAATCCGTTCTCCTCGGTCCAGGCGAAACTCATGGCAGTCGCCTCGAGTTTGTTTGTGCTGGTGTCGCTGGTTACGATGACTCTGTCTACGGTGGAAGAAATGGAGAACATGGCATCCATTAACCAGTTTACTGGCAAGACATGCGGAGAGATTGTAGAGACTCTGTGCATAACCTTCTTCACCACCGAGTACCTGTTGCGTGTGGTTTCAACCCCAGATATCTGTAGCTTTGCTAAGAGCGTACTGAACGCGGTAGACCTCATGGCCATCCTACCGCAGTTGCTGCAGTTCGTGCTCGAGACCTTTGAGGACTTCGTTCCTGGGAAACAAAATGCGGACATGAAGACTGTAGGTCAAGTGAGCAAGGTTGGGCAAGTGCTGCGAATCATGCGACTCATGCGTATTTTTCGGGTTCTGAAACTGGCGCGTCACTCCACGGGGCTGAGAGCGTTTGGCTTCACGTTGAGGCAGTGCTATCACCAGGTGGGGTGTCTCTTTCTCTTTATTGCCATGGGGATCTTCACATTCTCTGCCATGGTGTATAGCGTTGAATTCGACGCCCCAAATACCAACTTTACCAGTATTCCACATTCTTGGTGGTGGGCATCTGTAAGTAAACATTATTTTTTATCAATCATGCATATATAGGCGCTTTTCCACTGCATAGTACGGTACGGTTCGGTTCGGTACGGCTCACTTGTGGTGCTTTTCCACTGCATGGTACGGTACAGTACGGTTCGCTTCAGGTCGCTTTAAATGGTACCTGGTCTGTTGAGGTTCCAAGCGTACCGTACCGGTACTAAAATGTGACGTGAAACACTGCAGATCACTGATTGGTCATACAGAATCGTCACTATCAGCGTCACTACTAGCGTCATTGGATTTGCGACACGAGACACGAGACACTTTTTTAGCAGTATTTTTGTTTTGCTGCCATCAGCCTCATTTTAAACACATTTTTCCGTCTAGCAGTTAAAAACAACCACATACCGAGAATAAGGAACACCATCCCCTCGATAGTCTCCATTGTTCCTGTGTTGTGGGTTTGAAAATGTGCCGCTTTTAAGATGATGTCATGGCAGTAGAGGCGCGCGCAAATATCGATCAGTCCCACACACTTTGAAGGGGTACTACTGCGGTGGAAACGAAAAGCAATCCGAACTGTTCCGCGCCGAGTCGAAGCGTACTGAGCCGAACCGTACCGTACTATGCAGTGGAAAAGCGCCATATGATATACTGTAGATGATGTTACTCCGTCCGTAGTACTCACCCTAATGTCTTTCGAAACCAGTATCACTTTCTTTTTTCTGTGGAAAACGCAAAAGGAGATCATGATAAAGTGCAACATTCAAGTTCTAGAGGTAAAATCCCATTCATTTTACAGGGGAATTGAATGATAAACCTTTAAAGACAGACTTACAATGAGCTACAAGGTTTTTAATCGATGGTATCTGTTAAATTTTTAAATAATCATGTTTAACAGTGGAATTCCTGGTGAAAAGTGGCATTAACCAAGAGAAATCTCTATTCTCTACCAATCAGAGAATCGCAACAAGTAAATCGTGCCAAAATAACTCTTTAGCTTTGTTATAGAGTCAGTCTCCTCTTTGAATGAACATGAAAAAATCATGGAAAGGATTTCCACATGATTAACTTACTTTATTTCAGCATTATGCAATAATGTTATTCCAATTTATTGTACTTACGTTGGGTCAACTTAATTCATTAAGGTTTATTCAGCTTATTTACTATGTTTGGGCACAGCCTAATTTAATAGTGTCAGTGAATTAAAAAAAAGGCTCCATGTTCCCTGATATGATTCAGGTATTCAAATTCATATTCATTCATCCAATGCAATATAATTTATTTTAGTGTCACACTATAGCCATCTATTAGCTACCAAAAGCACTTTATAGCATATTAAATAAGATTGATTAATTAACTGATTCATCCACCAAAGCAAATGCTGTAAATGTTGAATCAGTCTTCAATGGTAACCCACTGTAATTTAAATGGTTCAATAATTGCAATGTAATTGAACATTAAAGTCCCCATGAACCGGAAGTTGCAAACGACTTTTCTCCAGTGTTGTGACGCATTTCCGAGAGAAACGGAATACTAAATGAGGCAAAATAGTGGGCGTGGCTTTTTTTCCAACTAGCACCTGATTGGATCTAGAAAAATGGGTGTTTCATTCTGAAATGGAGGTATGACGCAAATTTACACACGCTGTCAATCAATGCTCGCTCGGTGCTCGCAAACACACAGCAGCTGTCAGTTGGAGGGGCGTGGTTATGGATGTTAAGGAGACACCCAAACCGTAAAGCCTACGTCATCGGGGAAGGTCCTCCAATGCAGAGGGGAGGGGCATTTTTTAAATATGATTAAAGATTACGAAGGTAAAAAAAAATTTTTGTGTGGACTGACTTGTTCACCACAAAACGATCAATTTAGGCAAACAAAGTAAGTATGGTCAATTTTGATTTCATGGGGACTTTAAACACAATTAAGCACTACCAAGTCTTCCCCTTTTCTAATTTTCTTAAAAACACTTAAAATAACACTTCATTTTAACATGTATTCTCTCTTAATTCAACCATATGCAAAGTCTGCTGGGAACTAACAAGCACCGCCCAGTTTCAGTTAATGCAACACAAATAAATCATTCATGTAATCCAACACAAACGGATTAAGTAAACTTAAATGTTGCATATATTTAAGCAGATCGAACACAATCAAATTAAGTTTGGACAAAATGTATAGCGATTGTGTCATTTTAATTAAGAAATTTGAACAAGCAGCAAAATTATTATTTGTTTGGGTGTACTTAAACATTTGTATGCATATTATTCCCTTAGCCATTTGTCTTTTCGTCCAATTTTCAAATGTTGTGACTCCTCTTGTAGATGGTTGGTTTGGTTTCATAACTTATAACTCTTAAACAAAGTTTTTTTTTAAATCCCCATGGGAAAAATACTTACCGAACCACGGCTGCTGAAAAAGTGGGCTGGCACTATTGCTCTCGATAGCACAAAATCCCCTGCTCTTTTCTGCACAATAAAAGTGAATGATGATCATGCTTGTCCATTATACATCTTTAGGTTTGTAAAATGGTGCACAAGTCATTTGAACTACTTTTATGAAGTTTGCATTGTGTTTTTGGAGCTTTACCGCTTATTGTCCCCATCCACTTTCACTGTGTGACATAACGTTCTGCTAAACTTCTCCTTCAGTTTTCTATGGAAGAAAGAAAGTCAGAGGGGTTTGTAAATTATGTATTTTGATCAGTTTACCAATAACTTCTCATTCCAGGTGAGCATCTCCACTGTAGGCTATGGTGACATGTATCCAGAGACCCTATTGGGGCGGATATTTGCCTTTGGCTGCATTTCCTTTGGGATCATTTTGAATGGCCTTCCAATCTCCCTCCTCTTCAATAAATTCTCAGATTACTACGCCAAACTGAAGTCTCATGAATACACTTCCAACATGAAGAACAGAGGGAAGGTTAACTTCATCCTGAGAGCCAAGAAGAAACTAAAAGAAATTAGCTACATCGAAATTAATGACACTGTTTCATAGACACTAGTAGAGTTCCCAAAAGGGATCATTTTCTAAAAAAAGTCTCTAAAGTGCCAACAGTAAACGATGAAATGGTACATACTTGCGGTCTGTTATTTCTCATTACCTGATCCTTGAGCATTATCGGTTGTTTAATGTTCATGGCATGCACATATCTTTGGTAATGAAGTTGTACTAAAGCAATAAAGTACATTTTAATGTTTGGACATCATGTAACTCTGTACCTCTTCTAGTTCCCTGTTAAATTATGCTTTTCACCTGGTAACAGAAGCACATTTATACACATAACACTAACGGTGACCTGCATTATCCTCACAGTTGACGTTCTACCTCGCACATCCTGACTTGGTGAAATCAGGTTCTTACCTCTCAGGTAACCTTACCTGCCCTTTTATAACTCAACCTGTCTGACAACCCCAACAGAAGATTACAGTTAATCTAATTTACAAAGTTTCCCTGACGTCTCCAATTAAATTAACACCGTATTTAGCCTCCAAAGACAATTCCTATTTGTTCTCAACAATTTCTCTGAGACCATACAAGCCTTTGGGTTCAGGTCAAATTGTCACAAAATTTAAGACTGACATATAGTGACTTAATACTCCCACAATGAAAAAAAAACTGGTCTCATCTGTTTTGGTATTGAGTTTACTAAGAATCTCTGGAAAAACATTTTGAGTATTTTTTGTGTGTGGTAGCCTATAATTCCTGATATCTCTTTGAAATATGAAAATGTTATTCTTGGTTATACGCATTATGAGAGAGAAGATTTGGATGTTTTTTATTTGTTCAATCTTAATTTGAAAAGTGTTAAAGAGTGAGCCTTTCTTTAACATTTTTCTTGAACTCCACATCTGATTTCTGATTCTCTAATAAGAAAGCTGTGAAAACAGTTAATCTTTTTTTTCTTGCTCCCTGGCTATATTGTCATTCAGTATTTTTCTGTTTTCTATAATAATACTAATAATGTATAGGTATGTGACAAACTGACCATATACGCGCGAGCGCTTTGTTCCCGCAGCTGTGTTCCCAGCAGGTATTCAGCGCCAGACGCGTTGGTGACTTAGGAAATCTGTCGTATCTTTGCTTTGTGAATACCTCTAAAGCCCGTATACTAGTGACGTAAATTACGTCATCACGTTGATTCTGACGTTCAAATTTCTAAGATGGCTGTAGTAAGAAGAAAGTTAGAAGCGACGCAACTTTTCTCTCGTGTTTGGCATCAAAATCCTCTATGAATTTGAGTATTTTTTTGTTTCAAACCCAATACTTTTGATAGATTATACATTTAACTTGAATTAGGTGAAGTTTGGGATTGATTGTAACATTCGCATGTGTTTTTTTACGATCCGCAAGTGACGTTGTCGTCAAACGCAGAATCGGCCATTCGCTCTATGATAATGGCTTCCAAAACTTCTCCCTGTTTTCATCAATCCGTGCAGTATTTTTTATGAAAACCATGTCTTTTTAGATTTTGTGATGTAAAATAATCTATATCTAACATAATATGTAAGAAGTAAAATTACTTTGTAGTTGTAGATTAAGATGTGAAGAGTTCAGATGCAAAAGCCTCTAAATATATTGTATATTTAGATATAATGTGTATATTTAAGTTCAGTAATTTCACTTAAATGACAATTAATAGGTAATCTTCATTGTTATTTAAGTGAAATTACTGAACTTAAATATACAAGCTTGATAAAAATGATCATTTTAGAAGAAAATTTCAAATGGCATTTAGAGGCTTTTGCATCTGAACTCTTCATGTATTAATAATATTTTACTATTTAAATTGTTTGCCAGCATTTAGTCAAGAAATGGCCTACTAATGAAACAATGAAATTAATGTGTCAATGCCAATTGTCTGTTTAATACAATAAATATGTGAATACAGATTTTATTTGAGAGGATTTTGATTTCGTGTGGATTGATGCTCTCCGTTTCATCAGAGGAAGTGGTTAATTAGAAATAATAAAATTGTATCTATTCCTTTTAAAAAGAGGTCATCTTAATCTTGTTGGGCCTTTAATTACCTACACGGTGGTGTTTGAATTATACAAATAGACCAAGAAATGAGGAAGTTATGACATTTTGAAGTGTTTGTTCAAGCGGAAGAGGTCACAGTTTTTCATTGTTTTATTGTTTTAATTAGGTACAAAAATGACCCCTAATTTCCGAATTTAAAAATTCCATAACTTTCTTAAATATTATCCGATTTTAATCATTTAAAAACCATTTTAAAGGTATTTCTACTACCTATCATATGGTAATGATTCTATATGAATTTTACAGAATTAATTTTTTTTGTCACATACCTATAATGTAGGATTTACTTGAAAAGGACAATTTTCACTCAAAACATTACAAAGAAACGGCAAGAAAAGAAACACAATGAATTAAACGTAGAATTTTTAAGTAGAAAGACTGAATTAGTACTACCTCAAAATTATTGTTTACAACTTAAAAAATAATGGTTTACACGGTCTGCAGTTACAAGGTGGCTAATGACAAAAAAATCCCCAAGATGTGAGGAAGAAACCTTGGTTGGAAGGAAACATAATCTTTCAATATATATTTTAGCAACACATATATTTACAATTTATTACATAATTAATGAAAAGAATGACAAACCTCTTTCGGAATCGTCGACGACACCGCGGTTGCTCTCCAGGCCTGCAGGTGGCGGTATGACGTCAGCGAGTTCATAAGCCTCACTTCTTCTCACTGTGCTCTTGCGCTTCTCTGACCTCTGCATACTGAGTGCGGTTGTGAAGTCTGGCGAAATGGTTCCTCCAGTGCAAGTGTCGCCTCTGATTAAGGTTTGTCTTTACAAATCCATCATTCAAGATGTTTAATACTCGATTTAATCGAAGAATACCGTCAACTGGACTGTTTTTTCCTCCTTCTGTCAGAGCGGGCTGTGATGTTTTGACGTCTGTTAAAATGGCCGTCACGATATTACCTTCCTTCTCAGTTAATAAAAACAAAATTACTGATATTAATGAGATTTATTTTGTCTTTCAGACAGCCAGATGGTCTGCATTGCTTGTTGGCATTATTTACGGAAAGCGCAGATATGGTAAGAACAAGCAAGGTGATCTGAAACAGTGAGACAGGTGTTCAAATGGCAATCTGTGGACAGAAGGACCTTTAAACCATTTATAAAACTTATACAGTGATTATATATATATATATCTTGCACGCATGCATGCATGCACTTACTTTGATTTATGTTGTAAAGGTTCATTCTTTCATTTTGAAGCTTATCAACTCTAGAGTGCATGTTTCTGTCGATCTTAACTACATATATCGGTTTTATTCATTAAAAAATATACAGGAATGAAAATTGGTGGCCAAAATGGTGCTGATAGTTTAAAAATGTCCTCACACTTAATAAAGTTACAAAAGCTTTTCTTTATCTCCAGATAACCTGAAACCAATCGCTGAGGAGGAAAGGAGAATAGAAGAGGAGGAAAAGAAGGTGCGAGAGGAGAAGGAACGCATTGCTAAACAACTAGCAGAAGGTAAGGTTTCACCTTAACATTTTAATAGTGATTCTTCTGCTAATTCATCAGGTGAATATTGAAATTGCTTGCTCATTTGGTCATCCTAACCTTTCTTTTTTGTTTTTGTATTCAACAGCTAGTGAGGACACAATCCTGAAATGAGCTGCCCAAAATGTCGGTTTTATCGTGTCATTGTAAAAATCTTGTTATCTGACTGGATAACTAATGATGCTTGTATTCTGCCATTTTGATTTTACAGTGCCCATTTCACACCTTTCAATGTTTTCTCTAATAGGTTATGCCAGACTAAATCTGTTTTTGTGAAATAATCACTGAGTACATGCAAATATGTGTGTATGACCTTGTATAAATTTTCTCTGATATGACCCTGGTTTGTTCTTTAATTGAAGAATCTTTGATTGCAACGTGATACAGATGCAGTACATGCAAAGTTAAATATACACTGAATCAGAGTTTCACTTTGGTAAACATCCCCACCAATATTTATTAATAAACTGTTAACCCCTATTTCTTGGTTTAATTTTGATGTATAAAAATAATTGATATGTCCAAGTGGTGCAAAGTATAACTGAGACAGCAGCATTTTAAATTAAACAATAATTCTTCTGGAAAATCCTGTAAATAAAACTCCATTTAAACATAAACCAATTCTAACATTAACCAATCCATTTTTTATCCAAACTGGGAAAAAAAAACAATTCTTGTTGTGGCGATCCCTAATGTGATTGCCTGGCTTTATGCAACTTCAGTTGATAGGGTGCACAGACTTGTATAAGTCTGCTGGTTAAATTGTTTTTAAGTTGTATGCTTTTTACAATCTAGTTACTGTATTTGTCAAAGATAGGTTAGTGCTATCAAATATTTTATACTGAAGAGTTTCGTTTGAGGAACTTCATGTTGGTCAATCCAATATCATCTTATATTTATTAATGTTTCTTGGTTAAAATAAGATACCAAGTAAACTATAATATATGTGGACAGTTATTTTAGTGTCATTGACGTACTTAGTTTTTGTTCATTTTTTTAGGTAGTTCATCCAAAAATGTGAGTTTCGCTCATCTTTAGAACACAAATGAAGATTGCTTAGATTATGTCTTTACTAACTTTCTGGGGCTTGAAAGTGAAAGTTGCATAACTGTCAATGGAAAGATGTTAATTTTCTTCCTGAAGATGAACGAAAGATTTACAGGTTTGGAATGACATGAGGGTGAGAAGTTAAAACAATTTTTGGGTGAACTATCCCTTTAACTATAATAACCCCTGTGGACACAGTCAAAAGTCTGGCTGATCAAGACTACCGGTTCTCTGAATATTTCTCTGTGACAGAATATTCTCCATTTCTTCCCCAGTAATCCACGGCTCTCACTCTGTAGTAACCCCTGACCTCCAGACTCTCTGTGAAGGGAAAAACACAAGCGGGTCAATACAATACGGATCAGTGCTTGAAGTCATACATTTTGATTTCAATTGAATTCATACCTGGAGAAAAAGTGAAGTATGTGAAAATAGTGTCTCTGTGATTAATCCTCTGGAAAGTGGTCTCATCTTTGGAAAATTCCACTTCGTATGTCTTTATACACCTACAAATGGCATGCAAATTACATTTATAGTTTGAATGAACTAGTTTGATGAACTGCTGTATTTAAACAGTTCTTACTTCGTCCCGATGCAGTGATCCTTCCAAGTGATTAAAACTTGTCCTTTGGTGACGGTGATGAAACGCACCCCGTTCACCTGCAGAACCATAACTGCAATATTAAAACCAAACCACAAAGTTTCTAAATCTCTGAAAAGAATAGCATGCACCTGGAATGCTGGAGTTTTGCAATCAAACTTAAAATGAATTTCATGCACAGACAGACACAATTTTGGGGCGTAGGTGAACAGCAGATGCTATAAATTCTCTCATGACATAAAAATGATATTAAACTCAAGGGCAGGTCCAAAACCTGGAAAATGGTGCCTTACTAAGCTTCAAAGGTGCATCATGGCTTTTAAAAAAACTTTTGCTGATAATTTCCTCACCCCCATGTCATCCAAGATGTCCATGTCATTCTTTCTTCAGTCGAAATGAAATTAAGGTTTTTGATGAAAACATTGCAGGATTTTTCTCCATATAATGGACCTCAATGGGAACCAAACGGTTCAAGGTCCAAATGAGAGTTTCAGTGCAAACTACAAAGTGTTCAAAAGGCTTTTAAATGATTCCAGACGATGAATAAGGGTCTTATCAAGCGAAACGATCACTCATTTAAAAAATAAATAAAAAAGTTTAAGTTTTATAAGCACAAATGCTCGCCTTGCTCTGTTCTGTGATGAGAGTTTGTGACTCTCCTGTTCGGACTGGTTCATCAAAATGAACAAATCTTTTTTCGAGTCATGACTCCAAGGGTCCTAGATAAGACCCTTATTCATCGTCTGGTGTCGTTTAAAGCCCTTTGAAGCTGAACTGAAACTCTCATTTGGACCTTGAACCGTTTGGTTCCCATTGAAGTCCAATATATGGATAAAAATCCAAAAAACGTAATTTCTTTTCGACTGAAGAAAGAAAGACATGGACATCTTGGATGACATGGGGGTGAGTAAATTATCAGCAAAAGTTTTTAAAAGAGAACTACTCCTTTAAACTCAAGGGCAGGTCCAAAACCTGGAAAATGGTGCCTTACTAAGCTTCAAGGTGCATCCTGGGATGCTATTAAACAATATTAATGGAGTTCAGATACATAAACATGAAATTATTATTATATTAAATATTTCAGCATCAACCTTCAGATTAAATTGTTTTTAAAATCATGAGAAACAAATTCAGTTAAATGTGACTGGTAGTGTAACCTTTTAGTGTCAGATGTGAAGAGCTGTGATGTCGAGTGTCCACTAACCTGGTTGGGTTTTTCTTTAGACTGGGCACACACGTGTACAAGCAGCACTGAGGGGACAGGAAGGATTGTCTTCAGCATCAGAGAGCCATTGGATGGGACCGGCAGAGGTCCATCAGTTTGTGGGTCCTACGACATAAACATTCATTTTTATATAGAATAAGCTGCAAAACCATAAAGGTTGTGATAATCACAATCATACGCTCATTAAAACATGGCCAGCAACACTGAAAAAGTATTTTTCTAGGATGTACAGTAGTGGCCAAAAGTGATGTCCAGACTGGGAAAATTTACATCTTCACTTTTTATTCAAATTTAAAAATAAAATAAAATAAAAAATGAGTTAAAGATTGTGTAAGTGTAACTGTGCTTGGAGTCAATGAAACAAGTCAAATTGTACTGACATAACTTTTGGCCACACAGTCATTTAAAGAAATTATGGACACTTGCATAACCAATAGAGAACCAACAAAATATAAATAACTGATTATGTTGTAGTCAACGTATGCTTTTTCCTGTGAGCCATTGCTAATAAAACCTGTAGCTTGCCTTTTTTTGCTAAAAAAAAGTTGTCAGATAAATACCATAACCAACTTTAGTGTTTTGTTCTGCCCTCATATTTAAAATGTTTAAAAACATAAAATATTTTCCTGATATTTTGATGGTTTCATTTAACTTTTGTAGATTCATTAAAAACAAATAGCCTGTCCGGACATCACTTTTGGCCACTATAGTAAATAAACAAAGTTTACTGGAATATTTTTTACTGAAACTTACTATTTTAGTCTTTCTACTTAAAAATTTCACATTTAAGTCAGTGTGTTACATGCCGATTTTTTGTAATTATTTGTGAATTATTTGTGAAATTGTCAATTTTTTTTTTAAAAAAAAGAGTGAAAATTGTTTCTACACCATTTTTTTAGTGCATATAAAAACATACAGAAGTCTTAAAGGTGGTCTGACTTCAAACTTCAAACTGACTTCAAAGCATCAAACTTCATGGAAGTCATCAATAAAAGTGTGTGTGTGTTGAACCTCTTGGCTCCGCAGGGTTTTGAACTGCTGTTCATTGGGATAGTCAGGGCTGCCCATGCTCTCCCACAGTTTAAATGGGTTTGTCACGTTATTATCCATGTAGTGTGTCACATACATCAGACCTACAAACACAGGCAGGATAGAACTATAAATACAAGCATATTCTGTATTTTTGTCATATACAATACAGATTAAAAAAATCATGTTTAGAATATCTTAAAGTCGCATTTAGCAGATGCGATAATATACTGTAGTTTACATTTTCAACGATATATACGATCAAGTTGACATTTGCTATATAGTATTTGTCACCCTACACGTAGGATTGCAGATAAAGTTGCCAAGTTGGACATACTGCTTATATATACAAATTTACATAAAGAGCTGGATGATAATATAGTTACATTTTGTAACAAAATAAAAAAAATCTACTTACTATATAGTATATATATATCGCTTTACGTGAGTGTACTGTATGCATGCGAATACAGTTAGATATATTGGTAACACTTTACAATAAGGTTCATTTATTAAACATTAGTTAATGCATTAACTAACATGAACTAGCCATGAGCAATATATTTGTTACTGTTTTTGTAAATCTTTGTTAACGTTAGTTAATACAAATCCAGCTGTTCATTCTTTGTTCATGTTAGTTCACAGTGCATTAACTAATGTTAACAAGATTTTAATAAAGTATTAGTAAATGTTGAAATTAACATTAACAAAGATTAACAAATGCTGTTGAAGTATTGTTTATTCTTAGTTAATCTTAACTAATGTAGTTAACTAATGAACCTTATTGTAAAGTGTTACCGATATATTATATATACAACTTTATATGTACTGAAGAGGTGAGCGATAATTTAGGTTACATTTTACGTCGATGATACCAACAATTATGCAGCTGAAATTTGGTGTATAGTATATAATGATTAATGTGAGTATACTGTATAGTATATGTAGGTAAAATTGGATGTAGCCTACTACTGTATATATTAATAGAATACTTTACATTTTCTAAAGATATACAGAATCAAACAGATATGATTCGTTATATAGTACATACAGTTTAACATGAGTGTATTGTATGTATCCAGGTAAGGTTGGATATACTTATAATAGTTTTTTGTAATAATTATTATTAATTATTAAATTGTTAATTCATTCAAAAATATGGTGATATTGAGTTATGAAACCTGTGAGGTATGTCCAATTTGGTGTAGTGACAAGCCTAAGTTCTATTCAATTCTACATTCTTGAGCAAATATAACAGAAATGAATTGTATTTTCATTGCATAGGGTGGTCTTTTGTGGTTACTGACCCATATGTTGAGGTATTCCAGTGAGGCGCAGACTGATGATGTCAGCGGTGGAGGAGGTCTGGTTATCTCTGCTGTTATACAGCAGGACGGTGGTCTGCCAGCTATCGGCTGTGTAGCGCACCTGAGGGACGTGAACGGTGGCCAACACACCCACTGAAGAATTCACAGTCAACACCTCAGCCTGCACCTGAGTCTCACCTGAGTGAATATGAGATTATCACAAACACACAGGTTAATGTCATTTTATGTATAAATGTATACAATTATAACTGTTTCACAGTAGTAGTGGGCGATATACGCATTTTATGGCGAGCAGGACGAAGTACGTCTGGATTTTATTTGATGTTTTTTGATATCTATAACATCTTAGCAGTTATATCACCCACTAACACTGCACTGATGAGTCATTATAAATGTTCATTACCTAACAATGCCAACAGGCCCATCACAGTCAGGACAGGTTTCCGCAGAAACTGTACGTGTGGCGGGTTCGTGTTGTTGATCTGGAATCGAGCGGTGAGCGTGCGCTGGGTAAACGGGTGTGGGTGGTAACTAAGGAAAGCATTGTCGTTGCTAAGCAGCGTGTAGTTGACCGTACTGTTCTGGTCAGCGATGAGCAGGTTTTGATGCTGTGAGATGACCTACAACACCAGAGGCATGAAAGGAGACTTCAGCAAATATACCTGGACTCATTGAAGCTTTAACGGATCATATAAAAGAAAGCAAATCATTTAAGAAATTAAAATAAAGAGCCCATTAGAAATAAAAATATTTAGTCTTTAGGTTTGAGGTAGGGCTGCACAATTTGGTGGAAAAAGTTTAATTAGTAGTAGTAATGATATATCCTTATTATTTTGATAATCATAATAAAATAATTATTAACAACTATTAGTTATCTCATGATTTCTGTTTATTTTGATTAATTGTGCATGCCTACTATTTGCTACTGGCTACTTAAAATATTAATCTGTCTTGCTCCAACTTTTTTGTTTTAATAGGAAATACATCAGCTGAGGAAAGACCTTTTTATTTGTCAAACCGATAAAGGGATAGTTCACTTTGAAATTAATTTTTGGTATGTTTTAGCTTACCTCAAGGGCACCAAAGATGTAGGTGTCTTTGTTTCCGCAGTATTTTCAATTTTGATATTTTTAGGTCAAACCGTTCTTGTCTGTCAGTCATATAATGGAGGTCTATGGTCACCACCTCAAAGAGCATGCACAGAGAAGTCCAAATTAAACATGCTTTAATGAAACAGTATTTATATAAACAGTATTTATATCGTTTTACCTCATGTAACCACAGCCACGTCCAAGTGATCTGAGGGTGCGGGCGCGAGGTAAAAACTATATAAATACTTTAGGCCATCAACGTGTACTTACATTTACGAGTCATTAAATCATGTTTAATTTGGAGTTCTCTGTGCATGCTCTTTGAGGTGGTGACCATAGACCTCCATTATAAGACTGACAGACACGAACGGTTTGACCTTAAAATATTAAAATTGAAACTACCGGAGAATCAAACATCTTGGATGCCCTTGAGGTAAGCTAAAACATACCAAAAAATTAATTAATTTCAAAATGAACTATCCCCTTAAGTAGTTTCCTATGCTATTAAGGAATGGGCTCCAGACAATATGATTGGCTGAATTCTGCTTCAGGACCAGGATATTGAAAGGAATATGTCCTCATGTAAATCTTCATGTCCTACTGATCACAAAAGCACAGTTGATGAAATGAGATATTAGAGCGAGAACAGAAAAACAATCCCTCTCGTGTACCTTAACCACCATGGCTGCATAGGTGACATCCGCTCTCCAGGTGAGCGGTTTGTTCCAGCCAACCAGCGGATCAGCCTCGTCATTGTAGATCGGCACAGACCCAAACTGTGGAAACCGCTGCTGGATCTCGCGTACAGTGGCCACTTCCTGCTGCAGGATGGGCAACGAGCTTCCACCTCCCTGAAAAACACAGAAATTCACACTGAATTGGCTCTGTGATGCGTGCATCCGCCTTCTGATCATGCTTTCAGAGTTTATTTTGTGGCTGAATGTACATTATTCAGTATTATTTATCATCTAGACAGATAGATAAATAAATAGATAAATAGATGAGTTTGTTCGACTTTGAACATATTTTTCAATTTTTTGTCTGAAAAAAGTCAATGTTTTTAGGCATGGATGGATGGATGGATAGATAGACGAGTTTGTTATATATTTTTGTGCATATTTTTTGTTATATATTTTTGTGCATATTTTTTTGTTTTGTCTGAAAAATGTGAATGTTTATAGGGAGGGATGGAGGGATGGATGGATGGATGGATAGATAGATAAATGAGTTTGTTATATATTTTTGTGCATATTTTGTATTGTTTTATCTGAAATAGTGAAGGTTTCTGGGCCTAACCCTTATTTTGGGGTTAATTTTAGATTGGGGCTAAGGGTTAGTTTTGGGTTAGGGTTAGTCAGGGTTAATTTGGTATATAGGTATAGAGGTAAAAACGAGTTTCAAACTCATTAGTAACCACCCTCATTAAAATATGGCATCTGATTGGCTGAAGCTTAAGTGTCCATATATCTCCAACGCTCGGTTGTATCCCTTCCGTATCATAAACTATTATGTACCTTCTTGTGTAGCGCGATGTAGTCTAGCCGTACGCCGGTCTCTCCAGTAAAGTAGTTTGTGCCGTTGTAACAGTGCTGCAGCATCTCCCAGCAGTACAGCGAGCGGGGTGGAGAACGACAGGAGTCTCCAGGACCCCCGAACTTCAAGACTGGACTCGCCGCACGAAGGCCCTCAGAGCAGGCATCGTAATAGTTTAGAAACCCTGGAGGAGCGGAGCAGGAGAAATTCACTGTCGCAACAAAAACCAGCAAAACCGCTCATTCTTCTATATGGCACCATTCAATTAAAACTCGTCTGACACTTTCTTGTCTTGTCTGACATAATTTCTGCGCTCGAGAACAACATGTGGAGAAATACAACACATAAACTTAGACGGTGCTATATAAGTCTAGATAAGATTTACATTCCAGCTTTTGTTGTCACTTTATATGATGAATAGATTGAATTTAGGCTTTTTATTCACATATAAACATTGATTAGTGAACATAAACAGAAGCTACACCAAATCTGCTGAACAAACTGAAGCTCAAAAGTGATGCGTAACACGAGAATGAACCTCATTGGTTCTTGCTGAAGCTCAAGTGTGATGCGTAACACAAGAATAAATCTCATTGGTTCTCACACGTCAATCGATGAATGTTTAGATGTGAATAAAAGCCTAAATTTAATCTGTTCATCGTATAAAGTGATCAAGCAAGTCTCTTCAGAAAATTTGGACTAAACCGCTCGATTCATTTGGATTGGTATTACGATTTTTTCTTGAACTTTTTGAAGTACCAAAGCGTCAGCTGTCAATGAAGGGACAGAAAGCTCTCGGATTTCATGCAAAAGGTCTTTATTTGTGCTCGGAAGATGAACAAAAGTCTTACGGGGTTGGAACGACATGAGGGTGAGTAAATGAGAATTTTCATTTTTGGGTGAACTGTCCCTTTAAGGCTGCTCATACACAAATTTCCCCAAAATACAGACACAAAAAATAGACCCTGGTTCAGTTTGGTGCAAATGACATATGTCTATTTCAACATTTCCCCTCTACATGGTACAATAAAATTGTTGACTTCCAGTTCTTCCAATAAAATATAGCTGCAATTACAGGGCCTGGGGTTATATACTCGCAAGACACGGTCCCAATGGATCTCAAGACAATTTTAAAAGTGGCAGGATGTTCAAAGAATAGAGCAAGATATGCAATGCAATGTGCATGACTGTCAGAAGACTAATCAAGATACAGTGATGTGAATAAGTTTGGACACCCATGCTAAAGTTGCCTAAAAAGAGGAATAAAAAAATCATCTTTTGGATATTGTTCTTAATGCTTAATTAAAAAAATTAGGAAAAATCAAACCTTTTAAGGACACCAATTTTCTTTGTGAATGAATAATGTATCATATTTAAATAAATGTTCTTCCTTAAAATACAGGGTGCATAAGTCAGGACACCCCTATGTTAAATTCCCATAGAGTCAGGCAGATTTTTATTTTTAAAAGCCAGTTATTTCATGGATCCAGGATAATATGCATCCTGATAAAGTTCCCTTGGCCTTTGGAATTAAAATATCCCCACATCATTCACCACACCTAGAGATTGGCATGGTTTTACTTCAGTTAGCCTAATAGCTGGTTTGATTTGCATTGAAAGATGATCTTATGGAAAGTACCCCATGCCAATCTCTAGGTGTGGTGAATGATGTGGGGATATTTCAATTCCAAAGGCCAAGGGAACTTTATCAGGATGCATATTATCCTGGATCCATGAAATAACTGGCTTTTAAAACTAAACTATCTGCCTGACTCAATGGGAATTTAACATAGGGGTGTCCTGACTTATGCACCCTGTGAAAAACATTTATTTATTTATGATACATTATTCATTCACAAAGAAAATTGGTGTCCTTAAAGGTTGGACTTTTCCTCATTTTTCTAATTAAGGCATTAAGATCAATATGCAAAAGATGATTTTTTATTCCTCTTTTTAGGCAACTTTAGCATGGGTGTCCAAACTTATTCACATCACTGTAAATGCTGCTAAAAATACAATTACTTTGTTTCTAGTCCATCAAAACTTATAAGCAGAAATGACATTGTTTTGGCTCAGAAAACAAAAAATATATTAGACTGTACCTTGGATTGACACAGTGATGTTGTCAAAGTCGTGGTTGTTCGGCTCATTCCACGTCTCGAAGTTCCACTGAGAGACAAAGCGGAGGCCATATTTCCCTGCACGCATATCAAACAGCGTCTGGGCTAACTGCATAAGTGCTTTAAGATCCAAGACATTACAACTTCACTCTCATACGCACCTATGTATCTTTTGGCGATCAAATAGACCAAATTTCTCCATTCAGTAACTTGTCTTTTGTCTTCAAAGTTGCTGAAGGTGTTGGACACACTGCCCATCAGTTCAAACCCTTTAAAAAGACACAATGCAAAGTTTTTTAATTCACCAGCCTAATCCTACATCAGGCAGGCACAGATTTCACTGTAATATTCAGAATTTTAAAAACAATGTTTGAAATCTTAGTCCCACTTAGTAATAAAATAATGCACAACTTAGACCAGGACAGTAAAGCCAGTAGAAGAGGAATATTTCCTGATCTGAGCTTGCTTGTCCCGTTTCACCATCTTGTGCTCTGTATGTGTCTGTTGCATTACATACCCGGCTGCAGTCCGTTCTGCCAGAGAAGGTCAATCAGCTGGTCTAAGTGAGTGAAGTTGTAGTGATATTCTCCACTGTTAACTCTACACAAACATCAGAGATAACAAATAAACTAGTTTATTTGGAGATGCAAGGAGAATATCAAAAATGCATTTATGTAAAGATTATTTGTCGATGCACAAACAGAAAATTAGATGGCATGTCAAAAGCAGTAGTTTTTATAGCATTTATGCATGGGATACAATGTATTTAATCCCTGAAAACTAATGAAATATTGGTAACACTTTACAATAAGATTTAATTTGTTAACATTGATTATATTAGTTAACATTAACTAACAATGAACAATACTTCTACAGCATCTATTAATCTTAATCAATAAGAATTTCAATATTTACTAATATATTTTTTAAGTTTAAATTTGTGTTTGCACTGTGAACATGAAGAAACAATGCCCAGTTAAATTTTTACTACCTAATGTTAAAAAATATATTGTTCATTTTAAATTCATGTTAGCTAATGCATTACTGAAATCCTTAACAAGCAATAGACATCAGCACGATAAAAGCTTGATAACGTAAATATTGCACCTAAAACATTAAAGGAGTAGTTCACTTTTAACAATTTGTGCTGATAGTTTACTCACCCCGATGTCATCCAAGATGTCCATGTCACTCGTCTAAAAGAAATTAAGGTTTTTGATGAAAACATTCCAGGATTTTCTCCATATAATGGACTTCAATGGGAACCAAACGGTTCAAGGTGGAAGAGACAGTTTCAGTGCAAACTGCAAACTGTTCAAAGGGCTTTAAACAATTCCAGACGATGAATAAGGGTCTTATCAAGCGAAACAATCGCTCATTTAAAAAACAACAACAAAGTTTAAGTTTTATAAGCTCAAATGGTCACCTTGCTGTTTTGTGATGCGCGTTCGTGAGTCTCCTGTTCAAAATGAATGAATCTTTTTCGTTCATTAAGTTTATTTGAGCTTATAACTTTGAAATGTATTTATTAAATGAGCGATGGTTTCACTTGATAAGACCCTTATTCATCGCCTGGAATCGTTAAAGCCCTTTGAACAGTTTGCAGTTTGCACTGAAACCGTCTTTTGGACCTTGAACCGTTTGGTTACCAGTAAAGTGCATTATATGGAGAAAAATCCTGGAATGTTTTCATCAAAAACCTTAATTTTTTTCGACTGAAGAAAGAAAGACATGGACATCTTGGATGCCAAGGGGGTGAGGAAATTAAAAGCAAAAGTTTTTTCAAAAGTGAACTACTCCTTTAAGTATGAAAATATTTCACATTCACCAAACAGAAGATGAGGAAGTCTGTCTCTGGGAATATGAAAAACTCGTGCAGTAACTGACCGTGCCGACACCAGCTCCAGCATCCAGTGTATCCGCACCTGCTGGATTCCTCTGTGTGGCACAGAGCCGATCAACGCCAGATTCATCCGCTGGTCTGGACTGAGATCGTACAGGAGTGCATCAGTGTGTGGCAGTGGAGGGCTGCAAAAACAGGACACAAAGGTGAATGTTGTGCTTATTTATTTATTTATTTACTCACTAAAACAACAGTGTTTTCCTAGAAATGCTGGGGTAGATGTCACTAACAAAAGAGTACAAAAATGATAATGGTATTATCACACTTTATTTATTCATTCATTAATTCCTTCTTTCATTTATTTGTTAAATAAGGTAACAGTTTAGGCATGCACCATACTACTACTACTAGTTTACCACAAATTCTTTGTGTTGAGTATAATGTAAACACTGTGATGTATACTATGAATATGTAAACATAAAATGCTATGGTTCCCCTTAAAGTGGCAGTATTATTAAGTAAAGTGATTATATCAGAAGATAATACCATGATAATTGATAATGTAATTCATATACCATGGTTTTTAAATGGCAAACCAATGTCCAAAGTAGTACCATGGGACTATTTTGCCGTAATATTATTTTAATATCGCTGTTCAATTAGGAAAGTTCAGTGTTCAACATTACAGTTTTATCCTACCAGAATCCAGTGCTTCTCCAAAAGTGCTTCAAGTTTCGTAGCCGCTTGTCAACATTCACTTGAACCTCCACAGATGAAGATATAACAGACTGCAGCTGTTTTATCATCAGGAATGATATAAACACTGTCCATGTGAACGAACTGTGTTTACATCTATGCATGCTGCTGACGTCAATTGTAAACATAAACTCACTTTACGTGTCTTTCACTTAAAAACTTCATAGACATATTATGTTTAAAATGTCAGAAATCGTATACGGTGAGGTTAAAATATTTTCCCCAACTTCTGTGCTCATAAGATGAACGAGTCTCCATCTGCTCTCTTCAAAGTTGGTACACTGACGTCATTGATGTGCGACTTATGTTTTTGTGTCGACAGCTGAATGTCGCTGCCTGCTGGTCTAAATGTAAAATGCCTTCAGTGAAAAATACATTTTATAAGATCTACACTGCATTTGTATAAGTATATAGAACAGTATAATATAGAGATATTGTGACATCCTACATTTGACAATATAGTAGCCAAACAATATAACATACACTCAAGCTAAATGTTCAAAAATCATTGTGTCCTAATGTAAAATAACTCATTCAAGGTTGTTAAACAAATTTTTACTTTATTTTATGAGTCTTTCTTTGCTTGTTTAATTTTTAAAGCATCTAAAGCAGCTTAGACTTTGACTTTTAGGATAATTAAAAAGGATGTGGGTTGTTTTTATTATGATCAAGGAGTTTAAATTGGCTAATGTTGTTTTAACAGGCCAGGCTGACATATGTACCGGTATGGCCTAGCTAGCACATTTGTAGAATATATCTATATGGATAATATTTATATATCCATAGTATAGAAAGAAGAAATCATGTAAAAAATCATACATGAAAACAAAGGAATATTGATTTGCGACAGGGTATTCAAATAGGGATTGGGATCTTTGAGGACCTAGAGGAGGATTTACAGGCTGAAAGTATAGTTAAAGTTATAAATAGACATATATGAGGTATCAACAAAACAGCATATGTGAAAAATACGAAAAGTTAAGTCAAAATATTCTTATATTATTTTTATATATAATCTGTTTTCAGTGTCGAGTCTGTCTGTTCCTGAGAGTTGAAAATATTATTACATAATGTAAATATGAAATAAAATAATGCTAATTGTTTAAAGGATTGTGTCCGTTGGAAATAGGTGGAGAAATCCAGGAGCAGGAAGACAAACATTTGAGCTTTGAGGAAATCGGTTTCAGTTCTGGATTCAATCTTCAGTTCAGTTCAGCGAACATTAAAATAACAGTTTTTAAACCCTTATTCAGAAAAGATGTTTGCATGTTCCACAGCAACTGGTGTATTTCTGCATCGAGGATGTATTAAATTGATCAAAAGTGGCAGTGAGGAAATTTATAATGTTTAAAAAGATTTCTTTTTACTAAGTGTAATAAATACATTTAGTAAATGCAAATAAATGACTGATTTCTGAAGGATCATGTGACACTGAAGACTGAAGTAATGGTGGAGACCTGTTGATGAGATTTATTTAAAAGAAATGAACAGACTCAAAAACAAAAAGTTCCATTAAAATACAACTCAAAAAGCATTGTTAAACAGTCAGTTTTACATGTTTTCTTTATACTACCTGTACATTAGACTTCACAATTGCAACTATTTTCAAATAACTTAAGTAACTTGTTTTTAAAAGTGCAAATTCATAATTCATACATGGGAATTTCATGGGTAAGACGTGGGTACATGGGAAAGTTCACATTTCCTTTGTGCAACGAGAGTGAGAAAGAATGAGTGAGTGTAGAAATGCAGTGTGCTGACTATGACTTCTGCTCTGCTCCTGTGGAGGACTGAGGCGTGCTGTCCGGCTTTATTATCTGATAAGTGATGAGATACTCTGGATAGGCCTGGAAAACAACAACAACAAAACACATTAAAGGAGTAGTTCAGTTTTAAAAAAACTTTTACTGATAATTTCCTCACCCCCATGTCATCCGAGATGTCCATGTCTTTCTTTCTTCAGTCGAAAATAAATTTATTTTTTTGATGAAAACATTCCAGGATTTTTCTCCATATAATGGACTTCAATGGGGACCAAACGGTTCAAGGTCCAAATGAGTTTCAGCACAGCTTCAAAGGGCTTTAAACGACACCAGGCGATGAATAAGGGTCTTATCAAGCGAAACGATCAGTTATTAAAAAAATTAATTAAAAAGTTTAAGTTTTATAAGCACAAATGCTCGCCTTGCTCTGTTCTGTGATGCGCGTTCGTGACTCTCCTATTCATCAAAATGAATAAATCTTTTTTCGAGTCATGACTCCAAGGGTCCTAGATAAGACCCTTATTCATCGTCTGGTGTCGCTTAAAGCCCTTTGAAGCTGCACTGAAACTCTCTATTGGACCTTGAACCGTTTGGTTCCCATTGAAGTCCATTATATGGAATGTTTTCATCAAAAACCTTAATTTCTTTTCGACTGAAGAAAGAAAGACGTGGACATCTTGGATGACATGGGGGTGAGTAAATTATCAGCACAACGTTTTCAAAAATGAACAACTCCTTTAAGTTTGATAATTAATCTGCTATGTCATGTTTATGACAGGTTGTTTTGTCTTAGTAATGTCAAGTTGTCATGACAAAGACACTGACAGGTTATGATGTGTTGGTTTATGTCAAGGTGTCATAACAAAAGACATCTTAAACAATGTCATATTTGCATTAAAAATGTCATAACTGAGCAAATGACACTTGTCACAAACATGCATAAAACTTCCTTCATATTCATAACATACGTCATGTCACACCCCTTCGCCTAGGCTGTTAAACAACTTGAACCTATCACTGGTCTTTGGCGTACCTGTTCTCCGCGGTAGATGACATACTCAGCGTAGGCCAGGCCGTTGACACTGGGACGGCCGATCACAGAGTGATGTCCAGGGGGAGCGTGGGCCATCTTCATGGCGCTGAACTGCAGAAAGGACTTTCCCAATGTCACACGACAGAACAACATTTGCCTGTGGGAAATCGACACATGAACATGAAACCAATCCACTTGCGCATACGTTTATGTCGCATGACTTAAAGTATCAGGTGTGTTCATGTACCTGTGGCACACATAACAGGAACGGTCTTTGTGAGTGGGGCAGCCAGTGCCGCCCCCGATGCCATAGACGTACTGGTTACTCTTAGAGGAGTTCTCTGCAAAATATATGCCAGCTCCAAACATGCCACCAATATATGCATGACGCTCATCGAATCCTTTATGGATGATGGCGTTTATGAACGGAGATCCTGAAAACACAAAACGTGATTAGGATTAGGATGAGGAAAACAATTACATTAATATCAACTCAACGCAAAATGCAATTCATGGCGACATTTACAGCACATTTCAATGACAGAACGTACTCTTAACTTGAACTTTGAAGGTCATTTGGTATTAAGGATTTAATTTGTATAGACAAATAGTAAGGTTTGTGGTCTTAAAGGAGTAGTTCACTTTTGAAAAAACTTTTGCTGATAATTTACTCACCCCCATGTCATCCAAGATGTCCATGTCATTCTTTCCTCATTCGAAAAGAAATTTAGGTTTTTGGTGAAAACATTCCAGGATTTTTCTCCATATAATGGACTTCAATGGGAACCGGATGGTTCAAGTATCAAAAGACGGTTTATAACTGTTTCAGATGCAGCTTCAAATGTCTTTAAACAATATCAGACGATGAATAAGGGTCTTATCATGCGAAACGATCGGTTATTTCAAAACTTATTCCAAAAATGTAACTTTTCTAAGGACAAATGCAAGCCTTGCTCTATTCTGTGAGGCGCGTTTGCAACGTCACGTATTACGTAATTACGTTCAAAAGGTCACGGGCGACGTAGCCGAAAGTACAGAGTCAGTGTTTACAAGTTGAACGCATAGGTTGAACGTGAAAACTAACTCAAACACCGTTTACAAAAAAAGGAATTAAAAGGAAAAACAACGATGTCGGACGATTTTGACTCTGTACTTCTGGCTACGTCGCCCGTGACCTTTTGAACGTAATTACGTACTACGTGACGTTGCAAACGCGCCTCACAGAATAGAGCAAGGCTAGCATTTGTCCTTAGAAAAGTTACATTTTTGGAATAAGTTTTGAAATAACCGATCGTTTCGCATGATAAGACCCTTATTCATCGTCTGGTGTCGTTTAAAGACATTTGAAGCTGCATCTGAAACTGTTATTAACCGTCTTTTGGACCTTGAACCATCCGGTTCCCATTAAAGTCCATTATATGGAGAAAAATCCTGGAATGTTTTCATCAAAAACCTTAATTTCTTTTCGACTGAGGAAAGAAAGACATGGACATCTTGGATGACATGGGGGTGAGTAAATTATCAGCAAAAGTTTTTTCAAAAGTGAACTACTCCTTTAAAGGGATAAAATAATGGCTTACCAAAACTAATTAATTAACAATAAGCATCTCAAACAAAGCATGGTCGGTACAATTTTTTAAATGTTTTTGTAAGAAGTCTCTAAAAGTCTCTTCATCAAGAATACAGTAAAAACAGTAATATTTTGAGATTTTTTTTTTTCAATTAAAATGTATTAAATTTATAATCAAGACCATTTTCTTTGTGTCCTTACAAGGTAATATATTGTACAATTTATGCACTAAAGATAAAAACAAAATTGAAAAAAAAAAAATATCTATAAATATAATTACTTTTATTCTTTACGATTCATTTGTCTAGACGTGTTTTCAATTCATAGGACAAGCGAGTTCTGCACTTACCGTGAAACAGCATTCGCTCATTGTGGTGGTTGTGATTCTCGTCTGCAATCTCTTTCTGCCTGTGTGTATATCGCTCCCTCAGTTTCTTATTCACCACCTTCTGGATCTACGAGACAACTACAGTTAGATTTTGCTCAAGAGTGAAACAGACATAGATAAAGCGATAGTTCACCTAAAAATTCAAATTATGTCATTTACTCGCCCTCATGTCATTCCAAACCTATAAATCAGCAAACAATGTTTAAAACATTCAAATATGGTCAAGAAGTTCAAGCAAGAGAACCAATGAGGTTGTTACACAGTATGTTTGAGCTTCAGCAAGAACCAATGAGGGTGATTTTATGTTTGCTGATATATGTGATGCGATCTGGGAAAACCCACCACATGGTGAAATTTGACATATAGACCATATTAAAGCTGGGTTCAAGCCCTTTCCAAATCTGTTTTTATTTATTTTGTCGTTTGCCTGTAACAAAAGTTATGGTTATCTGAAGTCGGCTGATCGCTATGATTTTCAGAAACAGAATTTTGAGAAAAACAGTTTAATTAACGGTCACGTCCTGCTAGCGCTCCCTTTTTTATTGCCTTTTTATTATATCACATATTTTAGTAATCATCATAGATTAGGTATCATTCGAAAGCTTACAAACTCAAAAATCAACCTGTGAAAACCATTTTGATTGAGAGGCGAGCGAGGTCTTATAAACTAGCAGCTTCAAACTCTGTTGTTCTCTTGTGCTCCGCATCACACCACACGATAACGCTGGATAAAAATAAATAAATAAAAACTTGCGTGCCGTTGTAGTTCACCCAAGACTGGACTTTATTCTGTTATTTGGTTTATTTTGATAGATACGCTCAGATACAGATACAAACAGATACGCTTCGCCTGCGTATTCTTAAAGGGCATATTGCAGGTTAGAGGACCCAACGAGTCAATGCATAGAAAAACAATGTAGGAACTAGATTTTCTTTAAAATATACGTATAAACACGCCACAGAAGCTTCTGCAGTCGTTTTTGTGAGAAAATTTTACTTCCGCGTCTGAAAATGGGCGTGGCGGGCGTGACGCAATGAGCGGGAGAGCCGTCGATTCACACAACAGGAAAACAATGAATCGCAATGACATTTCGGACGCTGAGGAAATACTCCTATGACGGATCAAGCCATAAAGTTATGAGCCTGCTATGCTAAAGAGATCAGGGACAGGCCAGGATAATGTCAGACAGAATGGTCAGAGAAAAATTGAGCTGTGATGTGAGGAGAACCAGTGGAGAACAGGACAGGTGCCTTTTAGGTGAGAGTACTTATAGTATACACGTTCGCTAACGATATACACTGTGCTCACAATATTGTACAGATTATTATGATCCTATAACAGGCCAGCAGACATTAGTATGTTTAGGGTAAATTTATATACTATTAAATGTATAAAAACTTTACTTGAATATATTTCTATACTAAAAGCATAGGCTATACTCGGGTAAATTTTTAATACACATTTTTCACCTTGGTTATAACATAAACAGAACATTAAAGGTTTGAGTATTTAAACAACCAATTTTGTTTTTCAATTACAAGTTTTATTTAGGGCATGACATGACTAAGTTACCTATATAACACTATTTGATGCCATTGGTAGTATACGACGATCAATATTCTTGCTTCGGCATACCATGTTGAACTCCATCATATTGCCGAGATGCTAATCATTTGATCTGAAGTGAACGCTACACACGACCGTGTTTTCCGAGCCGAGAGGAGAAATCCCGTCTCTTCACCTGCTCAAACCGCACCAGGAACGAAAGATAGGCTATATAGCACAGTCACTTTTATTGTAATGGAAACTTGTGGACTCGATCTTGAAGTCCTGACAGGCTGGAGTTTTTGCAATCTCCACAAACACAATATTTACCATGACGATGATAAATTAAAATGCAAAAACTAACGATAGCACACTGATTGACGAGCGCTCTCACTGAACACCAGCCTGCTCTCACTGAGCCGAGGCTGCGGCTCCCTGCTATGACGTCAAATGACGCGACGTTGAAAAAAAAGCCGTTTTTACTAGCAGTCCAAGAAACGCTCACTTTATCTTCTAAATTAGTGCCCTTATGTTGTTTTAAAACATTTTAAATCCTGCATTAACTTTTCATATGGTATTTTCATACAAGGTTATCTATAAATTTCGATTTTTTTTTTACCTGCAATATGCTCTTTAAAGAGAAACACTCATTATTAATCATTATAAATTGCTATTTTTCTGCAGTGAACTAGTGAATTTTTCCAAGTTATAGTCAGAGATGACAAACAAGATGTTATAGAATAATAATTTAATAAAAAACTAATTTTGACAAAAAAAACCCCGACATTTAATCTATTTTTAGACTTTACTGAAAACGTACCAGCGCGACATCCGATGGGTTTTCCCAGATCGCATCACATATGTTTATACAGTCTCAAAGCCTCAATGAAATCATATAAAGCAATCATGTCTCTTCAGAAGACTTGGATTAAACCACTAAATTCACATGGATTTTTTTTTTTACGATCTCTTTATAATCGTCAGAGCTTTGGGTGAATAGACTTTAAATGGAAAGAAAAATAAATCTCTCAGATTTCACAAAAAAATATCTTCATTTGTTTTCCAGAGAACAACAAGCCTTTTGGGTCTGGATCGACATTAGGATGACTGAATTTTCAATTTTGGCTGAACTTAGCCTTTAAGATACGTTTATATATATATATATATATAAAACATACAATATGTTTATGTAATACTCTTTTAAACGGCAATACCTATTTTAGATCAGTTAAATATCACTAATGTTGAATAGATTTGGTGTGTGTTTACCTTGAGGACATTATATCGACTGAAAACGCCGCCCGCGTTTCCTCCATCCCGGTGCTCCCGAATTGTGCTTTGCATCTGTGACCAAAAAAAACAAACACCAATCAGCCATCACACAGAGCCCAAGCAGACGGCGGTTTGAAACAGCCCAGACGTGTTCATGTTTTACCTCTTCCTCAACCGACTGAAACTCTTTATCATCCACAGCCAGGTCAATCAAAACTGTGCCCTGATTGGTGCAGTGGAAGGTCAGGTATGGGTTGGCACCTGCGGCGTTACAGATAACAAGATTCAAATCGAATAGAAATACACCGATGCAAGCAGGAGCTGATGTTTAATGAGATAGACACTCACCCTGCTGTCCTCCCAGAAGCCTCTCAATGCCTTTGATGAGTTTGTGACGGTGTCCGTAAGCGTTGATGCCGATCTCCTTGAGCTCCTCGTGACCCATGTCAGCCAACACGTCCAGAGTGATCTAATGGAAACAACGTTAGAAACACATAAAAAAAGGTTGCACTATAAGAAATAAAAAGTTCAAAGATGTCTCTGTGTTTCTCACCTGTTCTCTCTCGAAGATGTCCCTCAAGTGTTCAAGCCCAAGACTCTTCAGGAATTGTGAGATGTTCATATCTAGGACAGCTATGGTATAAAAAGACATTTTAACTAAATAAAAATTGCAAAAATTTAAAAATTTTACTCAGACTTTCCTTCCTCTTGAATTGATGATCTGAAATAGTCCAAGAGTGTTTCCTGAAATACTATTGAGCAGCAGCAGAAGTGTACTCTGATACCCGAACGAATGACTCATGAGACGGTTCTTTTGAATAAATCCAGGCCAAATGTTTCTGATAAGGCAGTACTTTTTAGTGAATCAAAGTCATACAGCATGATCAGCAGTTTTGGGGAAAGTTACTTTAAAAGTAATGTAACATTAACATGTAGCAGTAACATTTTTTGTACTTAAGTATTGCAAGTAGTTTATTTTAAAATTCACTATTGTGTCATGTAATTATTAAAGAAAGCAGTCAAAAGTTTGAACTAGCAATCAAATAAGGCGCTTTGGCGGGATACAAATTTACATTACCCCTGCATTAGTTATCAATGTGTGTGTCAATCAATACCATTACCCTATAAAACTGGCGTGTGATTTAGGCAGCATGAAAGCCAACTTGCAACGAATGATTCTTAAAATGTTTATAATTGTAACGAGTAACTAGAAGAACATTAAAAAAATATTCAAGTGAAAGTATTAAATTCATCGAAAATATCTACTGAAGTAAAAGTAGAAGTATGAGAAAAAAACAATACTCTAGTAGAGTACAGATTAGGGCTGTCAAACGATTAATCGCATCCAAAATAAAAGTTTTTGTTTACATAATATATATGTGGGTGCACTGTGTATAATTATTTTGTATATATATATATATATATATATATATATTAGGGCTGTGCAAAAATTAATTGCGATTAATCGCATCCAAAATAAAAGTCTGTGTTTACATAATATATTTGTGTGTGCTGTATATAATTATGTTGTATATATAAATACACACACATGCATGTATACATTTAAGAAAATGTGTTATTCATATATAAAATATTTATATTTATATAACTTAGATTATGTATTTATATACATATACAGAATTTAAGGGCAAATAATTCTTAAATATATACATGCATGCATAGGTATTTATATATACAAAATAATTATATACAGCACACACAAATATATTATGTAAAAACAGACTTTTATTTTGGATGCGATTAATCGCAATTAATTTTTGCACAGCCCTAATATATATATATATATATATATATATATATATATAAATGCACATACATGCATGTATATTTAGGAAAAAAATATTAATTATATAAAAAATATTTTATATTTATATATAATATAAATAATATATAAATCTATATACATGAAAATATTTCTTAAATACATACAAGCATGTGTGTATATTTATATATATATATATATAATAATTATACACAGTGCACCCATATATATTTTGTAAACACAAACTTTTATTTTGGATGCGATTAATCGTTTGACAGCCCTAGTACAGATAGAGCATTTTAGTACTTAAGTTGTTACTGTCTTTCTCACCATCTCCTTCCTTTCGTTCAGATCCGGCGGCTCCATCAGCAGGTCCTGCGGCGCCTCCACTGGCCCCGTCGCAGAGGGGCCCGGCCAGGTTATCGATGCTGGAGGCGGCGGAGAGGCAGGAGGGTGTGGAGGCGGGTGATATCAGAGCGGCGCTGAGGACGGTGGCCTGTGGTTTGAAACAGCTGGGAAGAGCATCAGGAGGCATCGCGTCCATCAGCAACGCGCGGATGTCATCGGCCTGATAAACATAGAAATTAACTTGATCAGCGCTTTACTGGTGAACACAAAATCCGAAAAATCGAATCAAACTTTTTTACTTTATTACAACATGTTTCTGGTCATATTGTGCATTACTCATCTGTGTAATGTTGGTAACACTTTACAATAAGGTTACATTTGGTAACAGTAGTAATAATGAAGAATACATCTACAGCATTTGTTTATCTTAGTTAAACGTTGATATCAACACTTACTAATACATTTTAAAGTTGTATATGTTAACAAACAATGAAGAATTAACAACTAACATTAACATAAATGAATAAATGCTGTAAAAATTTAATTACTCATTGTTATTTCTTGTTAGCTAATGCATTTGCTAATGTTAAAGAATTGGACTTTACTGTAAAGTGTTATGTTTTTACAATCTTCATTATGAATATTGTAGGCTTTGGCTTTTGTGTCTGCTGGATAAAAGAGTCTGCTAAATGCAAAAATGTTAAATATGAATATGAAAGTTCATTGGAAGTTAAAAAAATTCTCCACCACTAAAACAACTTTTTTACAGTTTAAATCCGTTATTCACATGTTCTGTTATTTCAGAAACATGTCATATGTAGAAGTTTACTTTAGAAGTGCATTTTCACAATTGCTTGTTGAATTCCTCATTTGAAAGTCTAAATGAATACATTTTCACTTTCCTTTAAAGGGTTAGTTCACCCAAAAATGAAAATTAAGTCATTAATTACTCACCCCCATGCTGTACCAACCCCGTAAGACCTTCGTTCATCTTCAGAACACAAATTAAGATATTTTTGATTAAATTTGAGAGCTGTATAACTACCACATTGGCTGCCTAAGGGACTGCCTCTTGACGGCCCAGAAAGTCAATGAAGAAAATGTTTAAATATCCCAAGTGACTACCGTGGCTCAACTATATGTTTATCAAGCGACGCGAATACTTTTTGTGCGAAAAAACAAACAAAAATAACGAGTTTATTCGACTATTTCTTTTCTTCCTTGTAGGCCAGAACGAGACTTCCTTAGATTTCCACGACGCATGCGCGAGATTTGCGATCTGCTTACACCAGCTTACACTACTTCAGATCGCAATTCTCGCGCATGCGTCGTGGAAATCTATAAGGAAGTCTCGTTCTGGCCTACAAGGAAGAAAAAAATAGTCGAATAAACTCGTTATTTTTGTTTGTTTTTTCGCACAAAAAGTATTCGCGTCGCTTGATAAACATATAGTTGAGCCACGGTAGTCACTTGGGATATTTAAACATTTTCTTCATTGACTTTCTGGGCCGTCAAGAGGCAGTCCCTTAGGCAGCCAATGTGGTAGTTATACAGCTCTCAAATTTAATCAAAAATATCTTAATTTGTGTTCTGAAGATGAACGAAGGTCTTACGGGGTTGGTACAGCATGGGGGTGAGTAATTAATGACTTAATTTTCATTTTTGGGTGAACTAACCCTTTAACATATTCATTGCAAATTGCAATTTTAGTTTGGAAGTTTATTTTCGAGGATCATTCTCTTATCTTAAAGGGATACTCCACTTTTTTTGGAAATAGGCTCATTTTACAACTTCCCTCAGAGTTAAACAGTTGAGTTTTACCATTTTCAAAATCCATTCAGTCGATTTTCTGATATTTAGAAGAATATCAGTATCCAGACAGTTTCTGGTCCCATTGAAAATGGTAAATGGACTACATTTATATAGCGCATTCACAGACCCAATGGCCACCAATGAAAGCGCTTTACATTTTGCCTCACATTCACCCATTCACTCACTCATTCGTACACGGACAGTTTCCATAGTATATATTTTTTCCTACTATGGAAGTCAATGGGACCAAAAACTGTCTGGTTACTGATATTCTTCTAAATATCAAAAAATCGGCTGAATGGATTCGAAAATGGTAAAACTCAACTGTTTAACTCTGAGGGAGTTGTAAAATGAGCCTATTTCCAAAAAAAAAGTCAAGTCAACACTGATATTTTCTAAACTAGACTACCATCTAAGTAGGGTAGTTTACCGTGGCCAGGTCCAGAGCGGTCTGTCCCTCCTGGTTCTTCATGGTGGGGTCAGCGCCGTGTGCCAGTAGCAGTGCACAGAGCTGTGTACGGCCCTTCTGTGCAGCCTCGTGCAGCGGCGTGAACGCCCACTTATCTGTCGCATTCACGCACGTGTTAAACTTGATCAGGAGGGCAGCGATATCCACATGCTGGACAGAACAAATAGAAGCAGTATTAATATCATGATATCAGCACTGGGTACAAATTCACACGATCAGGGCTTGACATTAAAGGGTTAGTTCATCCAAAAATGAAAATTCTGTCAGTATTTACTCACCCTCATGTTGTTCCAAACCTCTATGTGTTTATTTGTTCTGCTGAACACAAAGGAAGATATTTGGAAGAATGTTTTAATCAAACAGATTTCATTCCCCATTGACTACGGTAGTCAATGGGGAATGAAATCTGTTTGGGGAATGAAATCTGTCACTCCTACTAGCCACTTTAATCATTCTTCCAAATATCTTCCTTTGTGTTCAGCAGAACAAATAAACACATAGAGGTTTGGAACAACATGAGGGTGAGAAAATACTGACAGAATTTTCATTTTTGGGTGAACTAACCCTTTAACTCCCGCCAATCCGCTAAATGTGGGTGTGTTTCAGCAGTGTCACTCCTACTAGCCACTTTAGCGGGATGAATTTTATATATAATGGAATACATTTATATCATATACATTTTTTTCAATTGTAAAAGGCATCTGGAACAATAAATTAAGTGTAATGTAGTGTTGTCGAAGATATAGATTCTTCGAAACATACTGATACTGAAATATCTGAAGCTCTCTCATCTCTCCACCAGCGATTTATTGCATGTATTAAGCATAATTTTACATTTTCACGCAGATTTTGTGCTGTCTTGGTGAGTATTTGTGTAAACAGATTTATTTTAAGTTTTATTTTTATTATAAGAAAGAAAACGCATGTGTAACAGTATAATGGATCTGTGCGTCAGGTCTTAAAGTAACAGCAACCTGCTATCAATTTATGAGTGGCTGGTAAGAAAAAATGTTAATGTCAAGCCCTGTATATGATCTACTGCTAGACAGAACAATTGTGACCCTGGACCACAAAACACTGTATGGGTCAAAATTATCGATTTTCATTTATGGCAAAAATCATTAGGATATTAAGTAAAGATCATGATCCATGAAGATATTTAGTAAATTTCCTACCTTAAATATCTCAAAATTATATTTTTGCAAATGGATGCAGAACAATCGCCAACAGAAATGGACAACTTTAAAGGCGATTTTCTCAATGTTTCGATATTTTTGCACCCGCAGATTCACGTTTTCAAATAGTTGTATCCCAAATATTGTCCTATCCTAACAAACCATACATCAATGGAAAGCTTATTTATTCAGCTTCCATGTGATGTATAATCTCTATTTTAAAAAATGGACACATAAGACTGCTTTTGTGGTCCAGGGTCACAATTGCTTAATATTTATCCATTTTGCAAATATATGCATTTTCTAATAACTGTGTCCTGAAGAGTGCTGAAGTTTCTGTTTTCACAAATAGTATGAGCAAATAGATAATATTGTTAAATGCTTAATAAAAATGTGAGAATGTTGTATTAAATTGTAAATATTCTAAGCAATCTCAAATCTTATTATTAAATTAAATTGTAATATATACAGGTATCACATGCACTACTGTTCTCTACTGTCATTGGGGTCAAAAAGATTTCTTTTTTTTTAAAGAAATTACTTGCATTCAGTAATGATGCATTAAAAACATGTATAATGTTACAAGTAGTTCCTATTTTAAATAAAATTAGTTCTTTTGAACTTCCTATTCCTTAATGAATCCTGAAACAATGTTTCTTGAGCAGCAAATCAGCATATTAGAATGCTTCCTGAAGGATCATGTGACATTGAAGACTGGTGACTAAAAACCTTTGACCTTCCCACACAGCCCGTTCTCTCACCCCATATGAAGCAGCGTTATGCAGAGGGATCAGTCCTCCTTTATCCTGAGCGTTCACGTCCGCTCCGTGCTCCAGGAGATACTCGGCCACCTCCAGGTTATTGTAACCAGCTGATCAAAAATGAATGAACTGATCATTAAAACAGCAGACAGACGAGATGAACGCGTGTTCGACGTGAGAAAACACGTTACCTGCCAGGTGCAGTGGTGTGGAGTTCCTGCCCTGTGTGTCTCTGCAGTTGATGTTCTCAGGACTGCAGAGTTTCTGCACGCGAGCTAAACAGCCCTTCTTAGCGGCATCCAGCAGAGCAGCGTCTCCACGCAGAAGGTCCTGGATGTCCGTGTCTCCGTCCTTCACCATGTCCAGAGCCATGTTGCCATCGCGGTTCTTCTTAGATGGGTCAGCGCCATGCTAAAGAGAGAGTAGTTATGATTTTAAATTGCAAAAATTTAATTAAAGTTTATTCTAAAGGCACATAGACTTTAAGTGAGGAAAAAGTAGCATGCACGTAAAATGACTGGCGAATGGTTTAATTGGATTTAATCTAATTGTAGCTAAACTGTTTAATAAGATTCTCAAGAAAATTCTTAGTGAACAAATATGTTCAAATCTTAATATTTATTTTTTAACAGATATTTTTAGGACACTTTTTTTTACAGTAATAAAAACTATGACATATTTACACATTTAAAGGAGTAGTTCACTTTAAAAAAAAACTTTTGCTGATAATTTACTCACCCCCATGTCATCCAAGATGTACATGTCTTTCTTTCTTCAGTCGAAAAGAAATTAAGGTTTTTGATGGAAACATTCCAGGATTTTTCTCCATATAATGGACTTCAATGGGAACCAAACGGTTCAAGGTCCAAATGAGAGTTTCAGTGCAGCTTCAAAGGGCTTTAAACGACACCAGACTAGCGAAACGATCGATCAAAATGAACAAATCTCTTTTCGAGTCATTTGGTTCATTCAACGAAGGAAATGACTCGAAAAAAGATTCGTTCATTTTTTGACCTTGAACCGTTTGGTTCCCATTGAAGTCCATTATATGGAGAAAAATCCTGGAATGTTTTGATCAAAAACCTTAATTTCTTTTCGACTGAAGAAAGACGTGGACATCTTGGATGACATGGGGGTGAGTAAATTATCAGCAAAAGTTTTTTTTTAAAGTGAAATACTCCTTTAAGTATTTATATATTATAAAATCATTATGTATATCACAATATTTATACAATTTGTACATTCCAAAAAGCGTAATTTTATCTAGAATTTGACAAATTTAAAAATGAGAAAACACACACACACCAAATGAATACAGGACATTGGATAATACTATATTAATTCTCTTCTATTCTATTATTCACTCATCGGCTACGAAACAAGGGATTGTTTATTCTATGGTATTTGTGAGTCGAAAGTGAAATGTAGAGAGTGGGAAAATAAGTGAGCGTCTCAACGATATCATCACGCAATCATGATATTCACTATGAGGCCGACATTCTCCATCTGAGATTTCAAACCTTGAGCAGTAGTTTGCAGATCTCATATTTGCCCTTGGCTGCAGCTTCATGTAGTGGTGTGAACTTCCAAAGGTCCGCCACGTTCACAGACGCTCCATGTCTCACGAGCAGCTCTGCCACCTCATAGTGACCATACGAACATGCGTTGTGTAAAGGAACCAGACCCCTGATCAAGAGAAAGATGGCAGTCAGATAATGCCAACACAGAGCAACGATAGTCACGCTAATGATGACTCAGAGGAAGAGGACCGTACCCTTTATCTTTAGCGTGCACATCGGCCCCATGATGCAGCAGGTATTCCACCACAGCCACGCGGTTGTATCCCGCGGCAAAATGCAGCGGGGTGGAGTGACGGCCCTCCAGATCACGACAGTTCACGTTTTGAGGGGAGCACAGTTGCTATGGAGGACACACACAAACATTTTCCTTCACAATTTCAAACCACCATCAAATGAATAATAAGAATTTATTAGGTTTGTTTACATGAACCAATTTCCCCCAGAAGTCTAATTCTTGACAATATGTTTAGCTCAACAATATAAAATGCACACACTCACACTCCAAATGTTCTTATCTAGTTATTTATTCGAGACAAAAATAAAAAACAAACTGCGTAATTTAGTTTGTAGAACAAGTATCGTCAAGTTATGTTTACCACACACCATATTTTACTATTAGAAATTAAAGAAAACATCTTCCTGGTTCTGCCATCATACCTCCACCACTTACTAATTTAGGTCCACAGCATCTCTTACAGTCACAATTTAATTCAAATCAGATTGGTCTAGGTGTTTACATGAAGGCTTTTCAGTCCGATTAAAGGGATAGTTCAGTCACATAATGGAGGTCTATGGTCACCACCTCAAAGAGCATGCACAGGGAAGTCCAAATTAAACATGATTTAATGACTAAGTAAGTCATTGTGACTGTAAATGTAAGTACACATTGATGGCCTAAGACACGAAACGAGCGGGTTGTGTGAGAAAACGAACAGTATTTATATCGTTTTAAACGATATAAGTGCCCGCGCCCTCAGATCACTTGGACGTGGCTGTGGTTACAAGAGGTAAAAACGATTAAAATAGTGTTCGTTTTCTCATACAACCTGCTCGTTTCGTGTCTTAGGCCATCAATGTGTACTTCCATTTATGAGTCATTAAATCATGTTTAATTTGGACTTCTCTGTGCATGCTCTTTGAGGTGGTGACCATAGACCTCCATTATAAGACTGACAGACAAGAACGGTTTGACCTAAAAATATCAAAATCAAAACTACTGCGGAAACAAAGACACCTACATCTTGGATGCCCTTGAGGTAAGATAAAACATACCAAAAATGAATTTCAAAGTGAACTATCTCTTTAAGCCATCAATACAATAAGCAGATTATTTGAGGTCAAGTAAACAAAAGCTATTGATTTCCTGATGGATAAAATCACACAAAAAAAGTCACATTTTAACGTCACATCGCTGAAGTGAGATGGATTTTGAACATGTTAACTTTAAAGTTTCTCAACTGTTATTTACCTTCACTGTGTCAAGGTCTCCGGCTTTAGCGGCCTCGAGAAAACGATAATCCACATCCGAATTACGGGGAGGAACGTTCTCTGGAGAAATAAATGCAGATGAAGGACATCTTGAGCGTTCAGATTAATCATACTGGAAATAAAGCTCAGAGTAACGGATGTAATACTACCATTAAGTATTTGCTGAATGGCTTCATTGCCCATTTGTGAAGCTGTGAAGCCCTGCAATGAAATGATTGACGGGTCGGCTCCGTAAGTCAGCAATAGTCTGCAAGTCTGGATGTGGCCAGCAAGGGCCGCCCTGTGCAGAGCTGTCTGTCCAAGTGTGTCCACAGCATTCACCTGAACACACACACACACAAAGCTCAGTGAAAAAGCTTTATAATAAAGATAAACTACTGTTCAAAAGTTTGGGGTCAGCTTGTGCAGTGTTAGTTTCCACAAAAACATTAACCAGCACAACTGCTTGGAAACATATTCAAATTATTTCTGAAGGATCAAGACTGCAGTAATGATGCTGAAAATACAGCTTTGAATAAATTACATTTTAAAATGTATTCAAATAGAAAACACTTATTTTAAATTGTAATAAAATTTTACAATATTAGTTTTTACTATTTGATGCAGAGGAGAAATCATACCGACCCTAAACTTACGAAAATATCTCTTAGTTAAAAATGGCACAATTTCACTCAATATCTGTGTGTAAATATTCTGCATTTTAAGTAAGGATGGGCAACGATTAATCGCAATTAATCGCATCCAAAATAAAAGTTTGTGTTTACATGATATATGTGTGTGTGGTGTGTATAATTATATTGTATATATAAATACGAACACATGCATGTATATATTTAAGAAAAATTTGTTATTAAGATATCAAATATTTATATTTATTAGGGGTGTCACGATTCTCCAAATCCTCGATTCGATTAAGTTATCGATTCTAAGGTCACGATTCGATTCGATTCTCGATTTAAAAAAAAAATGTAAAGCGCAGATTGCTATGCAATTTTTAGACTACACATTTATGCATTATGCAATATAAATTTGTTCACAATGTACACTACACCATTGCCAAATTTAAAATATAACAAAAACAAGTAACATAACTTAATAGTATAACATTTAAAGCCCCTGAAATGACTAGAAAAAAAGTTTAGTTAATTTTGACGAACGAGATTGAACAATAGAGTCAGTAAAACGATCCGAACTTTCCATCACGGACGCGACATGGGGCGTGGCAGTATCGACGATACCATTTTTTATTTCGATTTCGATACCATTGAATTAATTTCGATCGATTTCGATTTAATATCGAAATCGTGACACCCCTAATATTTATACATAATATTAATTATGTATAAATATATATAAAGTGTATACATGCAAATATTTCTTAAATATATACATGCATGTGTGGGTATTTATATATACAAAATAATTATACACATCACCCACACATATATTACGTAAACACAAACTTTTATTTTGGATGCGATTAATCGCGATTATTCATTGCCCATCCCTAATTTAAAGGGAATTTCTAAAGTGAAAAGCCATTGTTATATAGTATATATCATAATTTTAGTTCAGTATCTAACATTTTGGTAACACTTTCCAATAAGATTTAATTAATCAACATTAGATAACTACAATTAAGAATGAACTGCACTTTTACAGCATTTATTTACCTTTGTTACTTTCAATATTTACTAATACATTATGAAACTCTAAAGTCATATTTGTTAACATTAGTTAATGCACTGTGACCAAACATGAACAAACAATGCAAAAAACGTATTAACCGTTAAAGATTAACAAACACAATAACAAATGTATAGCTCATGGTTAGTTCGTGTTGGTTAATACTTAAATGTTAACAAATGAGACATTATTGTAAAGTAGGGCTGGGTAATAAATATCGATTTCTCGATATTAATCGATTCTCATTTTTACGAACCGATATCGATTCTTAAATCTCAAGAATCGATTAGTCATCCTGTTTCATTTGAATGAACGGATCATTGTATCGCGGCTGCGCGCATCCAACAAATCGCAATAATCTTTGTCCTTTGTTACTATTGATATGAAACAAAGTCTCAGTTTTCAAATTACGTCCATTTTCTTTAGAAATTCAAAAACATCAATAACGTTTTGGCGCTGTGGCGTGAGATCGCTCTGGCGAGATCGACAATCTCTCTTCCGTCTTAATAATGCCAGTTACAGTGTGAAATAAACATGAATGAGCATCTGAAAGTGTGTTAAAAGATAGAGTACAACTTTTCGAAATCCGTATCATGTCACATTGATTCACTCTATCAGCGTTTCAACCGTGGAAAGACGTCAGTTAAACAACTTGTAATCAATGTCATCGTCATATTTACTTCAGAAAACTCCACATAAACTCGTTAGTCAGCTAGAAAAATAACTCTAGAGAGGAGCATTTTGCTAAATATGCATTATAATCTTAATGTTCTTCAATATTTAATGCATATTTGAATAAATCTGGCAAGGTTTTATGACAGCCACCATTTAAATGTTTATATTTCATATAATGTTCTTATTATAAAAATAAATAAAAGTGTAATTTAAGTGTTTGTATAGCTACAAAACAGTTCATTATTGCCTTCATATTAGGCTAATGAAGTCTATAGGCTACAACTAGACTCCCATAGTTTACAGCATTAGTTAAGAGATTTGATTTCCTTGAGAAAAATGGCCATTTATTGTAACTGATATCCAAAATAATCGATATTGAATCGAAATCGAATCGAATTGCAAGCTTGTGAATCGAAATCGAATCGAATTGTGAAATTTGTCTCAGTACCCAGCCCTATTGTAAAGTTTAAATGTATCATTGTTTTATCATTTACAAATTGATTTATTTAAAATAAAAAAAAGTCCTGAAGTGTCAAACACATCATATCCCATTGAAAATATTCAGTGTAGGTTGTGAGATAACAGATACATTAATATAGTTGAAGCTGCCAAAGTAGACGGCATATAGCAAAGCAGCTCACTAGATCCTGGAACATATCCCATGCTGGTACCTTCGCTCCATGTTTCTGCAGGACTTCAAGCGCATCATTATGACCCCGCTCAGCCGCTACGTGGAACGGAGTCATAAAACTAGGGGAAGAAAGAATAAGTGAACATGAGAAACAGCAACCGACTGTATCTACCATAGTATCTAACAAAGTCGAACACTCACTCCTTGTTCTTCTCGTGAATGTTGGCACCTTTCCGCAGGAGCAGCTCTGTGACCTGTTTGCGTTTGGGATGAGGAGACGCTACGGCGCAGTGCTGTGAACAAAAGCGGTTAGACGGAGATCTTAATAAGCACATCATTAAAACCCTCAGCATTCAGACTCACCAGAGCGGAGTCGTGCGAGTGAGGGTGTTTGAAGCTGATGATCTCTTGAGCCGTTTTCTTGACCTTTGCCATGTCTGCCTCACGGGCCGCTTGCAAAAGCGTGTGTCCTTTGAACTCATCTGGAAGAAAAATCACAAAAGATCAAATGATTGCACCTAATATTGAAATGAGCGGATTATACAGGGAGAATCGCACGTACAGGTGAGTCTCTCTTTAAGCTCAGGTGTGGGCGCCACATCCACCGCGCTCTTGCCGTGGCAGTTGAGCAGTGTGGGATCGGCGCCGTGACTCAGCAGCAGCGAACACACCTCTACTCGATTCTTACTGGCCGCCTCGTGCAGCGGGGTGAACTGCCATAAGTCCATGGCGTTGACGCACGCACCGTGCTGGGAGAGAGACAATCACAATAAACAGAAACTCAGAATCAAAACAATATAGCATCTGTGCTGGAGGAGCATATATATATATATATATATATATATATAATCAATCAGCAAGTATTGGCTGGATTTTTCTATTTACCTTTAACAGGAGCTCTGTGACCTCGTAGTGACCATAAGAGCAGGCATTGTGCAGAGGCACCAGGCCACTGAGAGAGAGAGAAAAAAAATATTATTTCAGAATTTATCTAAAGATCATGATAAACGCTGATGACCTCGTATACCTTGTGTTAATACACGTTCCAGGTCTATTTGTTCGGAGCAGATTATTTAAAGGAGTAGTTCACTTTAAAAAAAAAAACTTTTGCTGATAATTTACTCACCCTCATGTCATCCAAGATGTCCACGTCTTTCTTTCTTCAGTCGAAAACATTCCAGGATTTTTCTCCATATAATGGACTTCAATGGGAACCAAACGGTTCAAGGTCCAAAAGACAGTTTCAGTGCAGCTTCAAAGGGCTTTAAACGATTCCAGACGATGAATAAGGGTCTTATCGAGCGAAATGATCGGTCATTAAAAAAAAAAAAAACAACAACAAAGTTTTAGTTTTATAAGCTCAAATGCTCGCCTTGCTCTGTTCTGCGATGTTATTCTGTGAGTTATATTTGAACTCGTTTATCAAAATGAATAAATCTTTTCCAGAGTCAATTCGTTCATTTCGTTCATTGAATGAACCAAATGACACGAAAAAAGATTTGTTCATTTTTATAAACGAGTTTGAACAGGAGAGTCACGAACGCGCATCACAGAACAGAGAAAGGCGAGCATTTGTGCTTATAAAACTTAAACTTTGTTATTTGTTTTTAAATGAGCGATCATTTCGCTTGATAAGACCCTCATTCATCGTCTGGAATCGTTTAAAGCCCTTTGAACAGTTCGCAGTTTGCACTGAAACTGTCTTTTGGACCTTGAACCGTTTGGTTCCCATTGAAGTCCATTATATGGAGAAAATCCTGGAATGTTTTCATCAAAAACCTTAATTTCTTTTCGACTGAAGAAAGAAAGACGTGGACATCTTGGATGACATGGGGGTGAGTAAATTATCAGCAAAAGTTTTTTAAAAGTGGACTACTTCTTTAATATAAATAATATATGCAATCAAATAGTATATATCTATTTGAAATAGATATATACTTACTATATACAGAAATGTTTTGTAAAATTCTTTACAGTGAGTGTTGATCAGTTTAATGCATCCTAGCTGAATAAAAGTATTCATTTCTTTAAAACAACATCTTACTGAATGGTAGTGTATTTATATAATACAAATGTTTACATTTTGAAATGTGTCAAATTGTGGGAAATAAAAATAGGTTACAATTCATGTTGGCTTTACATACTGGACACTACATATTTAAGAGAGAGACAGGAAGTAGTAGTTGCTCACCCTTTGTCTTTGGCATGGACATCAGCACCGTATTGCAGCAGTAGCTGCACGATACGCACACGATTATACCCAGCGGCCAGGTGAAGAGGGGTGGACTGCAAAAGAAGAGAGAAAAATTAATAACCCGCCTAAATATATTCAGAGCCAAATTAATGATAATCAATAATACAAGCGCTCATCTCACAATCACATAACCCAAACTCAAATATAACTATATAAACCTGCCTTTAACTCATCCCAACATAAGACAGCTAACTTATTTAAAGTTTTGAAATTACGTTCTTGTGATGCAAATGGAGAAGCGGTGGCTAAAGGCCCGTTCACACCAAGAACGATAACTACAGTGATGTGAATAAGTTTGGACACCCATGCTAAAGTTGCCTAAAAACAGTAATAAAACAATCATCTTTTGGATATTGATCTTAATGCCTTAATTAGAAAAATGAGGAAAACTCCAACCTTTAACCTGTTAACTGTCACCCCCCCTTTTTTGAATAGACATGAAAATGCACATTTCGAACTTAAATGGTTGTAATTCAAGAATGCTTTGGAATATAGACAAATGATTGGTCTTGTTTTAAAGAAGACATTTGGCAGATTTTTGTAGAAGTGAAAAAAATTAAGAAAGTGAAAGAGAAAAAAAGTTATAGAAGTTTAAGTTTATGGAAATGTACAATGTAAAAATATTAATTATTCATATTTTACATAAAATATATATTTTCAAAACCTGGGCTACTCTAAAATGGCAGAAAGATCAAAGCCAAAAATCTGAACAAGTTGTGTTTCAAATTTTAGGTTGATATCTCAAAAAATGAGCTTTCAGTGAGATTTTGTTTGAGCGCAGTACCAAACTTTTTCACTAGGGCACAATCAGACTCCATTACTGCCCATATAAGGGCACCTGCATTTCCATTCGTGTTTTGAGTGATATGAACCATTATTTTCACAATTTTCATACAATTTCTGAAGTAGAGATCCTATTCAGAACTAGCATGGAAAGTTTGGCAGATTTTTATATGAATTGAACCTCTAAGAAACACATACAAAGAACACGCATGTAAGTCATAGCTAGCTGCCACGTCACAAATGGTGAATTTATTATTTTTTTCTTGAAATTTCAAACTTTTCAGACCTTTTTTTTCCAAAATAATTGAATGGATTCTATCTTTTGAACTTTTGCCATGAAAACAAACTGAGGTATCTACCATTTTTTCATGATTTTTCATGTTTACTGCTATTTTAAAATAAAGGTCTGAACACGCCTTATGAGTATGAAAATATTCTTGTTTTATATTGATAAATTATGGCTCCTCTGTAATATATTTTGAAAATCAGTCACCAAATATGGAAACTAGAGATTGTAAGCTTTCAAATGATATGTAGTTTGTCAATATTATTTAAGGTATTTACTAAGATATTATTGTTTTAAAAATATAGTGGCAAACGTCCCACCTGTGGGACGGTGACAGTTAAGTGTAGGACACAAATTTTCTTTGTGAATGAATAATGCATCATAAATAAATAAATGTTTTTCCTTAAAATAGAGGGTGCATAAGTCATGACACCCCTATGTTAAATTCCCATAGAGTCAGGCAGATTTTTAGTTTTAAAAGCCAGTTATTTCATAGATCCAGGATAATATGCATCCTGATAAAGTTCCCTTGGCCTTTGGAATTAAAATATCCCCACATCATTCACCACACCTAGAGATCATTGGCATGGGGTACTTTCCATAAGATCATCTTTCAATGCAAATCAAACCAGCTATTAGGCTAACTGAAGTAAAACCATGCCAATCTCTAGGCATGGTGAATTTGAGCTTCAGAAAGAGCCAATGAGGTTCATTCTCGTGTTACACATCACGTTTGAGCTTCAGAAAGAGCCAATGAGGTTTGTTCTCACGAGTCAAGCAGATTCGTTTGAGCTTCTGTTTATGTTCACTGATCATAATAACAATTTTTATTTGTAACGCACTTCATATTTAAGCAAAATCCCAAAGTGCTACAATTTAGAAACAACCAAAATAAAATAATCATCCAAAAAAATAAAAAAGGCGAGTTTTAAGACCGCATTTAAAAACAACCACAGTGGGACCGAGAGCGGCTGCACAGAAAGCCTGATCTCCCATAGTACGTAGCTTAGTCCTCCTGATCAATGTTTATATGTGAATAAAAGCCTAAATTAAATCTGTTCATATAAAGCGATTGAGTCTCTTCAGAAAATTTGAACTAAACCGCTCAATTCATAAAGATTTATTTTACGCTCTTTATGAACTTTTTGAAGTGGTAGTTGCGTAGATGTCAATGGAGGGACAGAAATCTCTCATATGTCATCAAAAATATCTTCATTTATTGTATGTTTCGAAGATGAACGAAAGTCTTACGGGTTTGGAACGACATGAGGGTGAGTTTTGACTGATTTTTGGGCGAACTATCCCTTTAAAAATAGAGATAAGTGACTCAATAAACCACTAGTACCTTAAAACGTCTAAACACACAAAAAGTTGCAATTTGATTCTCAGTTCATGCAGTGAATAATGAATAAATAATGCCCTTATGACAGCCTGAACACAACCACAGCAAAACAATCAGCATGACAACCAAATCTCAACAACGCAGCCGTTTAGTAATGAACATATGCCTCGAATCAATGTATGATGCGTTCTCTGAGAGAATGATATTATTCAGTGCAGGATGGAGAGGCAACATTCATGTTCATATCATTATTAATGAGGACTGAACAAGCAATGGGCAACAGTGCAACGTTTCTAACAAACACACAATGGAGAAATCTAAACAGGAGAAATCAGGAGTTAAACACCACGTTTGTGGGGAGCATGCGTGCTGATCACAACAAATCAAACAAACGGATTCAAAAAATGTGAGCAATGATGCGTGGATGTGGAGTTTAGGGGTAAAACGTGGAGTTCTTGCAAAAGAAGACAGTTTAGAGAAGCTTTGTAAAAGAGGTAAATGAAAGCCTTGTTTTCAGAACCTGCAAGAGTCATCAAAACATTAGCAGAGCTATTGGTTGATTGATGGATTGTGACCAGCAGAAAAATAAGGCAGGTTTCTGTGCATTTTGAGTGCGAACCAGCGTATGGATGGATTTTTAGGGGCAAAAATTAACAAAAATTGTAAGAAAAAAAAAAAAAGAATTCACAGAAGACCAAATAAAACTAATTTCGGTTTCACAAAATAAACTTACCAGCATTTTTTGTGATGTTGACTGAATGTCGCCAGAACAAAAAACAAAAAAAAAACAAAAAATTAGCTATAAACTAACATATCCATATCCATCAGAGCTAACTGTGTTGCTTGAAACCTTTTTAAGAAACATTTTATCTTTAAAAGGTATATTTTTCATTTTTATTGATCAGTTCAAACAGGAAGATAATGCTAAAATCGATTTGAAATTTTCAATGGCTGATATAATACTTACATAAACTGTATATACACACTACAGTTCAAAAGTTTGGGGTTGGTGCGATTTCTATTGTAATATATGATAATGTGTACTTTATTCCTGTGATCAAAGCATCATAACTCCAGTCTTCAGTGTCACATGATCCTTCAGAAATCATTCTAATATGCTGATTTGCTGCTCAAGAAACATTTCTCAATATTATCAATATTGAAAACTGACTTTTTCCCCCCCGATTCTTAGAATTTAATAGAAATTCATGTGAATTAGAATTCTTATTTCAACCAACATTCATCCTATGCGTTGAGTGAGATCACTTTACAATGTGTCCTTCCTGAATAAAAGTCTTAATTTATTCAAAACCCGAAACTTTTGAACGGTACATACAGGCAATTTAATGACAGAAAATGAGAAACAAAATTAGTTAATTACTTTACACAATATATATTTGTATTCTTTACAACACATATGACAACAGATAACCTTTATTATTGTATCAGTGCATCCCTTTGGTCAATAAACCCTTTCTTTGCTCATGGTCAGATATCAAAAACAGGATGTTTGTTGTTGCATAAATGTTGCCACACAAAGAATCTCAGATTGTAAAACAAAATATCAGCGGATCAAAGATATTTCTAGTTTTACAACGTCTAAGGCATGATATCACTCTCAATGTAGAGTTCATTCAAGCAGGATTTATGCTTGGAGATCCACTATAATGTCCTGTATTTGATGTGAATTGTGGTGTTAATAGTTAAAAAAATGCTAAACACACTACTCTCAAATTATCAGTCCAAATTATATCACTATACAATTTAAATGCGTATAAAATAGGGCTGTCAAACGATTAATCGCATTCAAAAATAAAAGTTTGTGTTCACATAATATATTTGTGTGCACTGTGTATAATTATTTTGTATATATGAAGAGTTCAGATGCAAAAGCCTCTAAGTGCCATTTGAAATTTTCTTCTAAAATGATCATTTTTATCAAGCTTGTAAATTTAAGTTCAGAAATTTCACTTAAATGGCAATGAAGATTACCTATTAATTGTCATTTAAGTGAAATCACTGAACTTAAATATACAAGCTTGATAAAAATGGTCATTTTAGAAGAAAATTTCAAATGGCACTTAGAGGCTTTTGCATCTGAACTCTTCATATATATACGTATATATAATAAACACACACCCACGCATGTATATATTTAAGAAAAAAATACTTTTTATATATAAAATATTTATATTTATATATAATATTAATTATATACAAATCTACTGTATATACATGAACATATTTCTTAAATATATAAAAGCATGTGTGTGTATTTATACATATATATATATATATATTTATAAAATAATTATACACAGTGCACACACATATTATTATGTAAACACAAACTTTTATTTTGGATGCGGTTAATCGCGATTAATCATTTGACAGCCCTAGTATAAAAATCAGTACCGGTAAAGTAAAAAATGTATAGTAATAATACATAATATCACTATACTACAGTAAGTAACTCAACATCCACTGCAAGAAAAATAGAGCAACAAGAGCAAATTTATTTAAAAAAAAAAAAAAAAGTGAACTCATTCCTAAAAAGCCCTTCTGATATAAAGAGGAAGATCTGATGAATGAAGAGACCTGAAATGATCAGGGATGACGGAGGATTTGAGGGGAAATTAACAGTCCTGTTAAAATGTTGATATTAGATAAAGAAATGGATCACAAGCTTTTGCCTAAAACTTCATAAAGGTCAAATGTGCACCCAATAAGCACTGAAGCTCAACTGAAATCCCTTCCTGACATTAAAAAGCAGTCCAGAGTGAACAAAGGGGCAGTTAAGACTCGAAACAAACATTATAAAATGACATCAACCATACGTCCAGACTTAAACTCATTATGGGTAAAACTAGGTCAGAGCTGTTTACTCTAAACACAGTATTACGGAAAGAAAAAAAGTCAAACAAGGGGACCTAGACCTACATCTATCATTTACATGACCAATGAAATACATCAAATCACGTCCTATATTTGGGTTTAAACAGAACTAGAGTATAGAAACAAAGTCGGAGATAATATTTCTAAAATGGTCAGGAATTTAAATCTTATAATCTATGGTATATCAAATATTAAAAGCAACACTACGGAAAAAAAATGTATGCAGATTAAATAAAACAACTCAGATCTGTTACCTTGCGTCCATCGCTGGCATGACAGTTGACGTTAAGTGGGGTCAAAAGTGCCATAAGCTTTTCCTCGTTCCCGCTTCTAAGAAAGACGTTTTTCAAACAGAAGGAGACAGACACTGTTAGGAATGGCAACTTAGAGAAAAGACATTTCTGGATCAGAGACAGACAGAGAAGATTCCAATGTACTTAAAGGGACCACGTCATCTTTTGAAATGCACAATGTAATAATTAGGGCCGTCAACTTTAGTCGTTTAGTCGACTAATCAGTCGAGGCAGTCTTGGTCGACTGACATTCTTATTGGTCGATCAGTCGCATTTTTTTTTTTTTTTTAAAAAATTTTTACCAATAGAAATACATTTTCAATGATTTACTCCTTGATATTTATTCCTTTATAAAGCAGTTATTTATTACTGTATTCTAAATATAATTAGCCTATGTTTTATCCCCAACTTTAAATGATTTAATTTAGGCTATTTTTTGTAACTGCGCCACAGTTTAGCGCGCACACATAATACACTGCGCTGCTGCTCGCGCTCATAGTGTCCAAGAAATCCAAATCTTTTGTCTGGCTACATTTTTGTGGAGGTAGGCGACCGCGATCGCGTTGCTCCATTATGAGTGCGCACATCGCGTGCCTACATTTGAAATCGAACTTGAGCGCGCAAAAGACGTGAGCAGCCCTTTTAACGGCTTTATCATGCTGACTCAGATTGTGTTTTCTAAATATGCTTTCGTTTTTATTTGTACACTTGACGCATTTGAAAATAATGTAACAAAACGAAAATAAACCTATACGACAATTCACCATGACGTCACAACAATAATAGACGTTCTTCCGGGTGGCAAAAGCCGAAGCGTCCCTATGGCAACACTAGTAAATTGCATGGAGGGAGACACACCGCCGGCAGAAGCCTAATCTACATTTCAACAGTTGATTCAAGAACAGACGTGGTGGAAATTCAGACATAGTTAACATGATCATTAAAGCTTAGATTCTTTGATCTAGAGACGTGCACTCCCAACGCACTAGACCGCGGCGCGGGACTAGATCTGATGGCCGAGTGCAGGCGGTAATGCACTCTGTGTGTGCGGATTGCAGGAGAATAAAACGATTCGCGGGACTCCCGCAAACTAGAAATATCTATGAATAAAACAAATAAAAACTAATACATTTGTATTCATCTGTTGCAGAAAAGCAACAAGAACAACTAAAACAAAATAGAAATGACTTGCAGTTTCTTTTTAGAACGTGACTGCAGCGATGGGCGATGTAGCCAATCACAGACATATGTGTTGATTTATTGAACGCATTGGCCAATCAGAAGCATTTACGATGAAGAAGCATTTACTCACCGCTCAAAAGAAAGTAACATAGAAAGTAATAGAAATAACTAAGTTAGTTGAGAACGTCAGTTATATAACGACCCACGTATTAAAACGGTTGGGTTTAAATCGGGCTCAGGCTCATAATTAGAAGACGACATGCACTTTTGACGACGTCCACTCGCTTTAACCTGTTAACTGTCACCCCCCCCTTTTTTGAATAGACATGAAAATGCACATTTCGAACTTAAATGGTTGTAATTCAAGAATGCTTTGGAATATAGACATATGATTGGTCTTGTTTTAAAGAAGACATTTGGCAGATTTTTGTAGAAGTGAAATAAATTAAGAAAGTGAAACAGAAAAAAAGTTATTGAAGTTTGAGTTTATGGTAATGTACAATGTAAAAATATTAATTATTCATATTTTACATAAAATATATATTTTCAAAACCTGGGCTACTCTAAAACGGCAGAAAGATCAAAGCCAAAAATCTGAACAAGTTGTGTTTCAAATTTTAGGTTGATATCTCAAAAAATGAGCTTTCAGTAAGATTTTGTTTGAGCGCAGTACCAAACTTTTTCACTAGGGCACAATCAGACTCCATTACTGCCCATATAAGGGCGCCTGCATTTCCATTCGTGTTTTGAGTGATATGAACCATTATTTTCAGAATTTTCATACAATTTCTGAAGTAGAGATCCTATTCAGAAGTAGCATGGGAAGTTTGGCAGATCTTGATATAATTTGAACCTCTAAGAAACACATACAAAGAACACTCATGTAAGTCATAGCTAGCTGACACGTCACAAATGGTGAATTTATTATTTTTTTCTTGATATTTCAAACTTTTCAGACCTTTTTTCCCCAAAATAATTGAATGGATTCTATCTTTTGAACTTTTGGCATGAAAACAAACTGAGGTATCTACCATTTTTTCATGATTTTTCATGTTTACTGCTATTTTAAAATAAAGGTCTGAACACGCAAATAAAGGTCTGAACATGGTTTAATCAGGTGCGCGATTGTGACTGTCATCATAGACCTAGGACAGAGCTCCTCACTTTTTGCAGTTAAAAAAAAAATCACTTAATTTTCAAAGAATTTCATTATTATTATAGTTTTATTTATTTGTGATGTTTTTTCGTTGTTGTTTTATAAATGCTCTATGACAATTGTCTAAAAAATGTTCAATCAAAACATGCGTTTTTTTTGTTTTTTTTTAGTCGACTAATCTTTGCGCAGGACAAGACCTTGGTCGACTAAGGATTTCTTTGGTTGACTACAGCCCTAGTAATAATACTACCGTAATTATTGACACCTAGCTGCAAAAACGGCTTGCTTTAGGATTGTTAAAGGCACCAACTAAAGGATGTTGCCACTGCAACTATATTGGACTTATTTACTAATTTTGCATGCAAACACAGCCAATAGGCTCTATGCACAACTTACTTCCGCATTCTGTATATTTTTTGATAAACGATTTCGAACAGGAGAGTCACGAACGCGCATCACAGAACAGAGCAAGGCGAGCATTTGAGCTTCTAAAACTTAAACTTTTTTTTTTTTTTTTTTTTAAATGAGCGATCGTTTCACTTGATAAGACCCTTATTCATCGTCTGGAATCGTTTAAAGCCCTTTGAAGCTGCACTGAAACTGTCTTTTGGACTCTGAACCGTTTGGTTCCCATTGAAGTCCATTATATGGAGAAAATGCTGAATGCTGAAATGTTTTCGTCAAAAACCTTCATTTCTTTTCGACTGAAGAAAGAAAGACATGGACATCTTGGATAACATGGGGGTGAGTAAATTATCAGCAAAAGTTTTTTTTAAAAGTGAACTACTCTTTAATTCTAAAGGATCGGAAAGAAGGTAGAACATAGCAATGAAAAAATAGATTTTTAAGAAACCTTTAAAAGTCTAATGTCATATTTTAACATAACATAATATAATAAGAGTTCATTGTATTATCCCTACTAAGAAAATATTCTGTCATTTTAGCATTTATGATTCTGTAATCTAAGGGGACAATTTTACTCAAAATCTCCCCAGTCCAAAAAACATTTATTGAAAATCAAGAGGCAAAAAACGCTTTAAGTTTTCTAAACATCAACATATGATCATTATGGCCAATATCACCTACAGCTCTGCACTTTCTTCCCAACATACTCAAACAATCGAACCAAGATGTTTGAACAACCCCCTTGAAACCAATTATAGAAGTGTTTATTTCACCAACACACTGATATTAAATTACTATAGTTATTGTGCCATATAAGCTCACCTTGCTGCCTCCAACAGTTCATCCTTCTTATATTCACCTAAGGAATAAAGACAGACAGCAGATGTCAGATAGACTTGAAAGATGCATTATAGTGTGTGTGAATATGTTTAGGTGTTACAATAGCTATGTTCAGACTGGAAAACATGCGTAGTGTTTATATTATGCAGTACTGCAGTTTTTTATTAACATGTGAAACGGTTTGCGACAGATTAATTAAAGTGTTCTGCTACAACTTCACAGTTTAATTGGGCGAGTGGTGTCAAGATGGCATTAATTAATTTGATTAATCAAATTAACCCTTATGCTGCATTAGGGACATTTTTGGTCTTTTGCAGTTTAATTTCTTTGACCATTTTGGCTGTTTTAATGCAAATGGTATGAAATTTGGCAAAATTGTGACTTTTTGGATACATGTAAAAAATGTGATCCCATTTTGCAAAATATGTATAACACACACTGTGTAGATCAAATAGTAACACTCAGCACCATAAAGACCAAAAATGGCCCATTGAAACCCATTAAAACGTTGTTTAAATCTGAGGCTGTCAGTAATACATGAAACATGATTTTTGCACAAACATCCTTTCATTTTGAAGCAAAAGCATTATATTTGCATTATATAGTGTATTCCACCAGATGACGTCACTACATATTTATTCCCTATGGGTGGAAATGCACCTTATTTTAGGCAATAGGCAATGTTTAATAGGTGGCCATTTTTGGTCTCTAACGCGCTAAGTGGGATTTTTTGCAAAAAGGGACTGTGATAATCCAAATCTAAAGTTTTCTCTTTGCATTTAGTTTATTGAAAATAATTGAATTTTTGTGTTTTTTCCTCTTATACAAATCGATGGTTTCGCAAACAAAACTGGTAATTAAAGGGTTAAAATCCTGAAATTGAATGCATTTTTGGTAGTTATGATGAGGACTGATGCTGGTTAAAAGATTTAACTTGGTAAAAGCGGAAAATAATAATAATATATAATATTTTAGGCAATGTTTAATATGTGGCCATTTTTGGTCCATTTTTGGTCCATTTTGCACTCAACGGTGTTAAAAATCTAATGCAGCACAAGGGTTAAGATGGCATTAATTAATCCAATTTTGTCAACAAATGCTTTGACATTTGGCCACCCAATCAAATAGCAGATAATGGCCTTCACTTTTCAGACTGCAGTGAGGCACTTTTGTTGTATATTTATTTGTCTATACTGTAAAGCAGATGTATGTAAGTGCATGTCTCACCAGTGAGGACGGTCTTAGCAGAAGGGTCTGCCAGGTCCAGAGCTGATTTGCCGTCAGTGTTTCTGATGTTTGGATCAGCGCCGTGCTGTAGCAACACTGTAAGAAACAGAATCAAGCAATAAAGTCATAAGAGATGCACCGATACTGAAACTGACGATATCACAAGCAGATCATATTTTAAACTTTGGCTATAAAACTATAAATATCGATACTGTTTTGCCACCTAAAGTGTTCATACTAGATCTGCAATTTGAAATTTTAGTACAATTTTAGTACCCATTGAAACATTTTAACACACATAAATACATATATATATACATACATACAGGGCCTAAAATGAACATGGTGTTTATCGAGTATATGAAACGCTGTCACTCACCAGTGTAAGCACTATGCAGTGCTTAATTTATTTCATTTGTATCATTATTTACTTGTGCTTTTGCTTGTTCTTATTTTATTACTGATTGTTTATTTTCTTTAATAATCCTTTAAATTTATATTAGTTAGGCTAGTAGTTTTCAAAGTTTCCACAAAGCACCCGCGCCCTCAGAACACTTGGACATGGCTGTGGTTACAAGAGGTAAAAACGATATAAATACTGTTCGTTTTCTCACACAAACCGCTCGTTTCGTGTCTTAGGCCATCAATGTGTACTTACATTTACGAGTCATTAAATCATGTTTAATTTGGACTTCTCTGTGCATGCTCTTTGAGGTGGTGACCATAGACCTCCATTATATGACTGACAGACAAGAACGGTTTGACCTAAAAATATCAAAATTGAAAATACTGTGGAAACAAAGACACCTACATCTTGGATGCCCTTGAGGTAAGCTAAAACATACCAAAAATTAATTTTAAAGTGGACTATCCCTTTAAGGCATTACCTTATATGAACTAACAATGTGCAGTATACAATTTACAGCGTTTGTTAATCTTTTTTAATAAAAAGACAATTTTCATTGTTTCATGTTAGTTCACAGTTTGCACAGTTTACAGTACATTAAGTAATACTTCGAAAATCCTGATATTATCGATTTCTAATATCATATCAAACCGGATCAGCCAGAAAAATATATAATATTGACCAATATATTGTCTAACGGTCATTCTCCACACTTTGCAAATAACTTCAAAGAAACAGTACACAACCTATTCATTGTGCAACTAATGCAAACATCAGAGATCCTGTCAGTTTTTCTCACTGAGAGTGCCATCTCAGCACTGAGGTATTCAGTCAGACACTATGACATCAGGCCGCGGGAGACAACAACATTACTATCACAACACAGCAATACTGCAGCATGCTGGAACGCAACATCAGCTGGAACAGCTCTATAGACGACTGCTCAACTCCACACAATGTTGACAGGGGCTCATTACTAGACAACTCAGTCATTGCCTATCAGGCATCAGTGACCATAAGAATGGGTTATTATTAGAGCTTTTTAATTATCAGTATTGGTCTGATTAGACTATAGTTGAAAACATATGATTTCTCATATTAATATCCGTACCAATGCACACGTCTATTTTGCCCTTGATGGCGGCCTCGTGCAGAGGGGTGTAGTTCCAGTTGTCTCGAGCGTTGGGGTCCGCGCCGCTACACAGCAGGAGGCTGACCACCTCAGCGTGCCCGAACGAGCAGGCGTTGTGGAGCGGGATCAGACCACCGTCGTCGCGGGAATGGACATTCGCTCCGGTCTGCAGGAGATGCTCGACCACGTCCTTTCTGCCAAAGCCTGTCAAACATCACAAATGACAATCAGTTTAAAATCCATTGAAATGGAACGAGTCTATTGAAAAGATCTTAGGTTAAAAATGATACATTTTTATGACTGTGAATGTGTGTTGTTTAGATGCAGAAACTCTCTTAAATGATAGTTCACCCAAAAATGAGTGAACTACAATTTTCATGACATTTCATTCAAACCATTTTGATTTTCTTCATTAAAAAAAACAGATAGAATTTAGAAGAATGTTAATGATACTGACAAAAGGCGAACTACTGCATTATTTGTATCTTAAATAACTAGCTGTCATTTGTTGGTCAAATTAAATGGTCCTGCAGAGCGAAATATATTTTTATAAGTGCAAATAATCCATATAGTCTCTCAATTATACTAATTGAGAGACTATTATGGAAATGGATCAATGCAGAGATTATGAAAACTGCTTGTTTATGCTTACTAATGTGGAAAATATCTCATTATATTAGTACGTCTGTCAACAAGGTTCTTTTTAAAAAAACAAGTCTTTTTTTACTTCATAATGGAAATTATAACACATTAAATAGATATTTAATTTCATAGACTACGTCATTTTCTTTCAAGACTGCACAATTACATGTCCAAGTCACCAAAAATCATATTTTATGCAGATTTGCTTCAAATGATACATTATGCAAGATTATACCATGACATCGTGAGTAGTCAATATACAGTACTATAATTTTTTAACAGAAAACAGCGCGCGCACTCTCTAAATATATATTATATAACGTTCCTACTATTGACAAATCTCATATTTCTATACAAACTGATTATTGTGGACCCAAGACAACAAATGTGACGTGTTGTTGTTTTATAAGGTCAAGAAACAAAGCAAGATTCTTGAATACACATTATATGTAACGTTAGCAAATATAAATATTGACCTGCAGCGAAATGCAGAGGGGTTGATTTTCGTCCGGCCATGTCTTTGGCGTTCACATTCACCGAGTCCACCAGCCTCTTCACCCGCGACACATCTCCGTTCCGACAGGCCTCAAATAGCTCTCTGAACGCCCCGCCAGCCCCGCACACTCCTTCCCCGGGACTGGTCGCTCCCGAGCCGGGGCTCTGGCTGCCTGCGGTGGCGCTTGAACTAATGCTGCTGCAGCTGGAGCTCGCGGGTGCTGTCGACGCTGCGGCGGCTACTGCTGTTACTGGGGAGGGCCGGTCCGGGGAAGAGGCGGAGGAGGAGGAGGCCGCTGCGGACTCCATCGTCGCTCCGTCGCATTCCGCTGCGACAGTAGATGAGGGGCTCAACAAACTCGTCGATTCGGGAATAATCGCGGACGGGGGTTCGGGAGGGGGGACGCGATCAAGGCGTTCCGCGGAGACGGCTGCAGGCTGCTTTGTTGGTGCTGCGAGGATCGACGGGACACCGCCATTTTCCCCCCGAAGCTCCGTCTGTCAACAATAACAGCTGGAGCCGCTGCGCTTCCGCTCAGTGCGAGGAGGCTTCCGGTTGGAGACACTTCTGATGCACTGCTGTTAAATGCCTTCATTACTTTTACTACACAGTCAAATTAATTATAATCATAATTAATATTAAAGTATCTATCTATCTATCTATCTATCTATCTATCTATCTATCTATCTATCTATCTATCTATCTATCTATCTATCTATCTATATGTATGTCAATAATAACCCTGAGGGGATTTAATTTACAGTAATTTTGTAATATCCATCCATCCATCCATCCATCCATCCATCCATCCATCCATCCATCCATCCATCCATCTATCTATCTATCTATCTATCTATCTATCTATCTATCTATCTATCTATCTATCTATCTATCTGTCTGTCTGTCTGTCTGTATGTCTATCTATCTATCATTAATAACCCTGATGGGGATTTAATTTACAGTAATGTTGTAATAAATGACTATCTATCTATACTATCTATCAGTTTATCAAACTATCTATCCATCCATCCATCCACCCATCTATCATTTCCTTTAAACTAGGTGTCTGACAAATGGTTGTGGAAAATAAAAACAATGTTCCTCTCAAACTTTTGCCTCAGTGTGAGATGATCTTCTGCCTTTAGTCACACTTTGTGGACATTCAAACGGTTCTGTTATATGGGGCCCTGTTACTATGGAAACTACAACAAAAACCATCTGTTGCTCTAAAACAAGGACCAGCAGGTTGTTTTAACAATTTATATATTTATATATATTGCATTTTACCAATTTATATATTAGTTCAGGGCCAGCTTGTGTGCTGTGGGCTGGTTGGTCTTGGTGTAAACGAATATAGTGTATTGTATTGTGTTGCTGGAGAGATGCCCCATTCCCCTCGTGCCACAGATGCGAATGGTGGGAAGCAAGATTCCTATTTGAAGGAGTGAGTTCAGCTTATACACACTTTTTTTAACGCATTAACCATTTTTTTCATTATAAATAAATTTGTCAGACTAGACTGGTTCTGTAAACAAAATTCTGCCCATTCACAGGTATTACAAAAGCCTTCCTGAAGAAAAAAGATTGATGCTGGAGAAGTCTTTGATGGTACGTTACCAATATTAAAGAAATACTTCAGACAAAAGATATTATTCTGTTATCATTTGAATTGAATGATGAGGACTGAAGCTGTCACGTGCCAATATGAGTCGTTTGAGTTACTTTTATTAAAGTCTCTTCATTTTTGGAGGTCGACAGCCTCAGTCTCTCCTCATATGGACACGGACACTTGGGAAAATAAATCATACAGATTAGGGAGAGTAAATTAACTGATGACAGGGTTTTTAGTTTTGGATTCATATATTTTGATAATGTGTGTGTGTGTTGTGCAATTATAATGACCATGTCTTCCTCACCCAGAATGCAGTTAATGACCAAGCACCAGCGAAGGGGCATGTGGGTGGTTCCACACAAGGTAATATATTAAAAACATATTGAGATTTAGCTAAATGAAACAAAAATGTATCCTAAACTGATCAGATGTTTGTAATGTTGATGTATTTTTATGTTTGTGTAGTTCCTGATCCACAAAAAGGAGCTAATAAACACAAGAATGAGGCAGATGCTAAAGAAGAGCCTTCGTCCAAAAAATCCTCCACATGCATTGTGTTATAACCTCACTGGTAATCTTTTGCCAGTCATAATCATTTCAGTGCATTAAACTTGCTGGGAAATGCATATACATGCCATATGTTGTATTAGCGGTATTATTTTTTATTTCTTAAATACTGTTTATTTTTTTTCCCTGAATATTTTCCTCTATTTAATAAGACTTTTTTTACAACTGATTGTGATGAAATTAAATCTGCATTACTGGTACATTTCCATTGCATTAACCAACATGATTCATCATCATTTCATAAGTGCAGGTTTGACAATAATTATTATGCATGAAAAATTCTGTCTAAATTTATATTTCATTTCCAATCAAGACTGAATGAGTGTTTTAAAGTTACATTCTGTGTGCAACAAGGGGGCAGGACTAGCAGATTCAATGCAACCACAGTATTTACAAAGAAATATGATGCTTTGTTGTCATTGTATTTGACTGCTCACAGAGAGAAAGTGAGACAAATAAGAGCAAATGGAGCAGATCAGTGTCATAAAACACAGCCAGACACCAACACCTATATAAGTTGTGAAAGAGAACTAAATTCAGGATCGCGTACACCATTATGCGTCCTGATCAATGTGACTGGCTATCAAGATAAATAAATCACTTATGTAAAGTTAATTAGTTACATTTGGTTATCCGTATCGGAAATTTGCAAACAATTTTTATAGAAACTATGTATAGGCTCAACCTACTAAATTAATAATTGATTAACTATTAAATTCATTTGGATTAAACCGAACGAGTAGAGATGCAAATCAAAAGGTTTATTGTAAGAGGAGAGCTTTATGAATAAATGAGACACTTAGTGAAAAGGATACTTTGTGATTATATTTTGTGTATTATATCAACACAATTGAAAATATGTTGAAATTTAATTGCATTTATACGATTTTTCGAACAGCAGGAGGCGCTGTCTCGAAAAAACGAGGGGCCTGAGAAAGCGGGACTCTGGGTGGGGACTGTAGATGCAGGCTCTGATTCTACAGCTTCATAATATTGATTGCCAAAGCAATTGATAGAAACTACAATTATGAGTAATATTTTCTCAAGTATACATAGATGTGATTTACCTGATCACAAGCAGGAAAAAAAAAATCACATTTTGTTTTTGAGTTTTTGAGGAATTTCCATGAATTTTATTGTAATTTTTGATGCTCATATATGTATTTAAAAGAAACTTTTTACAAAGATTGCTCTCACAAAGAACAACATCTAACAAATGAAATAATTTACAGCTGAGCATAACTAGAATGTTTTTAATTATATAATAAAAATCTATTTCACAAATTACCACCAATCTGACCTTTAGTTCCAGCATGACTGTGGAGATCCCAGCATATAATCATGATAGTAGACATATCTGACAAGAACAAAACTTAGAAAAAGCACAAAAGTTTATTTGAGAAATAAATTAGCATACACTGAACTGAATATTAACCCCAATCATGCATTTACAATTTTATCCTTTTTACATATTTTACACAAAAAGCTTTTTCACCCAAATAAAACTCATATGACACTGGGATCTATAGCATTTGCAATAAAAAAAATGTATTTCCATTTATTTTTAAACTTAATTTATTAACATATTTAAACTGTATTATAGCAGCAGTATAAAAGTCCCCCCTGTTCGTTTATCAACAAGTCACATATTTCCAGTGATTGGTGACTGAGAATATGAAGCCCTTTGTTCATTGGTGTGTGTGTGTGTGTGTGTTCAGTCACTGCTGTCATCACCCACCACCATGTGGCTGTACTTCTTCTGCTGTTGTTCCTTGAGCTCATCCTTCACCTTTGCCCTCTTCAGACCGCCATCCCTGTGACACACACAGTCATAAACCTTTACAGAGGACCTATTATGGTTTTTTATGTTTTATTTTGACATTTTTAACTTCCTTGAGTGTGTAATGTTGCCGTTTGAGCATGAAAAAAGTTGTTCTCTATTTCAGTGTCACTGTTTCCTGAAGTTTACTTCAAGAAAACAAAAACACATTGTGTTTTTAGAAAGGATAGGCTTCATAGGACAGGAACTAAAGATAGCATTACAGACAGACTGGAAAGAGAGGTGCTGCAAGAATGTAAATATTGTATTTTGAACATTCAAGCATGAAAACCTATATAGTAGACTACAAAATTAAGGCTTAAAGACAGAATATAGCTTATTTAACTTATATTAACCCTCAGGTGCTCTTCGTTTCGGAGTCACACTTGTTATCCTCCCGGTCAAAAGTGACCGGACACCTAAAATTTAAATTTCCTCCATCCCAGTAAAACCAATGCAATTTATTTTTGTTCTATAATATTTATTCTTTGTAATTTAGTATTTTGAGTTAAATTTATTGAATTTATTAATATTTATGCAATATTTATGGACTATTTTGCAATGGAAAAATATATTTATTTTTTTCAAAAAATTATTAATGCAGTATTTTAGTTTAATATAGTCTAGGCCTTCAGAAAAAAAAATTGAAGAAAATTATCACCATCTGGTTACAGTATAGAGAAAAAGCGTAGAAACATGGTGTAACCACTAGATGGCATGTACAGCTCTCTATGGAGAAGCATGTGAATTCCCTAGATGTGTATGAACACATTTTTTGTTGTTTTTTGGTGGATTTGAATTATTGTTGAAACAATCTCAAAAACGATTTTTTATTA